AACAACTGAAACAGTGGAACTGAAATGGCAAAAGACAAGCTTTTTCCTTTTTTTGAAAAAAACTTATTTTCTGAACTCTTTATTTTGCAGCGTGGTATCCCAGAAAACAGTTTCTGTCCTTGTTCAGGCAAAGGTGGACCTTGCACTTCTCACAATACACATGTGTGAAGTGATTTCCTGTGCAGTGCTTGCATCTTTGTCGAGATTCCCATGTTGGAAAATGATCAATGCCATCTTTTCTCACATCAGAGGGCACACGAGCACATGGCCTTTTGCGTAGGGCAGGTGTCCCTCCAGCTCTGGAAGATGTTTGTGGTCTGCCACTCCTGATCCTGGCCTTTCCTGCACTTGTGAGAGAGTTTCCAACAGCAGCTTGAAATCTTCGCAAGGGCATGCTTTTCTCCCCAGATCTCAATGTCTGCTGATCTCGTCTGTAGAGGTTCCAAGCATTGATTACTGCCACTGTGACCGTGTGCCACCAAATGTACATATACCATCTTCGAGATTTGAAGTTGAACTTGTAAAGTGCAGTTAACATATCAAGAAGGTCAATTCCCCCCATGAACTTGTTGTATGTTTCAACAATGGCTGGTCTGGGAACCATCATGTATGTTTTTGACTTTCGATCCCAACGCTTCACACTTCCCATGGGTTCGATGCCAACATAAGAAGAAAGCAGGTTCACCGGTTTGTTGTCATTCCATCTCACAATAATGATGTTGTCTTGGTTCACTCTGGCATCAAGAGACCCTCTTCCTTTTTCTTTCAAAACTTTCTCATCCATCATATTGCAGTTTCTTACCCTGTTCATTCGAACTGTGCCGATGTAGTAGATTCCTCTTTCTTTCAAGTGTTCCACCAACGGAACTGATGTGAAGTAGTTGTCTGCAAAAACCTTGTGATTTTTTCCTGCTGGAAGGGTTGAGGTCATCTTCAGAACAACATCTCCAGAAGCACCAACATCTGATTTCACTTTGTGAGGATCTACTGCCCCTTGGCAAACGTCAAAATCATACAGATAGCCACTTTGCCCTGCACGCCCCCACATCTTGAACCCCCACTTGTGAGGTTTTCCTGGCATGTACACCCGAAGATAAGATTTTCCTTTGAAAGGCACCATGATTTCATCTACGGCATGGCATTCTTCAGGGGGAACACTAAGACATTGTGCACGTAGTTTTGTTAACCATGGCCTGAGTTTCCAAAGTTTGTCCTTCTGTGCATCATCAGAAACACTGAGGTTGTCCTGAAAGTGAATCATTGTCAGCAACTTCAGGAAACGATTTCGAGACATCACATCAGACACTGGAGAGTATTTTGTCTCCATTTCCCAAAAGGCTCGTACATTTGCCATCTGTACTAACCCCATGTGCAGGTACATACCCAAAACTTTCTCGATCTCATTTGCAGTTGTGTCCACTGACATCCCTTCTTTTTGTACACTGTAGAGGTTTGTTGGTTCAGCTATCTCCTCAAGCATGTTGTTGTTCACAAAATATTTAAAATACATGTATGGTGTCCAGTCATGCCGTTCATCATTTTCCTCAACAAATCCACCAAATGTTACATTTGGGGTGTCAAAATCTTTCTTCTTCCACTGATATTCTCTCCTTTTCACTTTGTCTTGTGCTGGTTGATTTGTTGTCTGTGCTGTATCATCAACTTTGGCACTTGTCTGGCCCAAACTTTCATCTTCTTTGTCATCATCACTACTAGCAGAGTCCTCCTCCATGTCCTTTGAAGTAGGAGTCCAATCCTTATCCTCTACAAAATCATCTTCAGGGTCCTCTAACTCTTCCATGTCACTCAAATGTCCATCGATTATCATTTTCACCACATCGTCAATGCTGTAATATTTTTCCATCTGAAAATATACCAAACATTTAATTACTTGGAATATTGATACCTACAAACAAAAAAAATACCTATTTTTACTCTACATTTAGAAACTAAAATTCCCAAAAGCTTATTGCTGTATCTTAGTTACTTTATGACTACTGATACATATCAGTAGTCATGAATTTAAATTATTTAGCCTAAATAAACCTGGATTAAACAGTTAAACATAATTTATAAAAAATAAATAAAGATAAAACAAACTGGATGTTGCATTATTGGATGCATAAGTCTTGAAATGCAATGAAAAAACAAACAACATATTCAAGGAAAAAATTACCATATAAAGCCGCTGAATAGAATTTGATACACACAATTTCAACACGGTTTTACTATAACTAAAGTTGTAAAATCTAAAATCTTTTTACATTGTATGATTCATCTAAACCTTCCCCTAGAATTATCAGTAACAATGTCAAAGTTTTTCTTACCTTAAAATGTTGAAATCTGAAATGATGTTAGTAAAAAAAAAATATGTTGGTCAGAGAGCTCAGTGAGGTTTTGTTCTTGTCTCACATGTGTCACTCTGGTGCCCGAATTACTGACCTCTGGTGGATGGACATGTGAATTACAAGTGTCTGATTGTATACAATGAGCTTTTTGGTAGATTTTTTTTTTTTACTGATTAAGTTGTGAGCTCAAAAATTCATGTATCAAATACGATTCAAATGGCGTTATAGGGTTAAAAACACACATTCTACATTGAATAAAATGAAACCTAGGCATGGTACACCAGTCGCTAAATATCTCATGAAACTAGAATTGGTTGATGGGTCTAAGATTATAACTGCTTAATCCTAACCTCACCTGGAGTCCTGTCTTGTCCTTGTCTTTATCTCCTTCTTGAATTTCCATTATATCTCTCAGAGTGTCCTATATTTAGTAAAAGATTTCAGACAACACTTTTTTCATCATTATAGTAGTAAAATATGTTGTAATTGGCATAGGTAATTTCCAACCAAATGATGTTCTTTAACTTTAGTATGATTCTATACTGAGTTAAACCTAATCCAAATCTACATAATAGCCCTCACCTGAGGCTCTAACAGTTCAGGAACTGCTCTCGATACTTGAAATAAATCATGCTCTGATCTTTCAATTTCCTATAATAAATAAAAACAGAGGAGAAAATATTGAATTAGAATCTACAGTGAGTAGCTCACTACATTGTTTGACATATACGATCAATCTCTAAAAACAATTCATACAAAATTCCAACCTCGCCTGATGCACTGAAGGGCCTGTTGCTTCTACCTCAACATTCCCTATATTGTTCTCTCTTGTTGGTTGAGTTTCCTATGTATGTTAACAGAAGATTAATCATCACAATTCATAATTTGCTATTACTTGTGCTTTCACTTACTTACTTTCCAACTGTTAAAAAAGCTCCTGATATCTTTTATCTTTTTTTGTGGAGGTGGCATTTTTTCTAAATTATATAAGAAGGTATAGACAATCAAAAACAGACATTCATATACATGAACTGCAGAATCATTTATATAACTTGGCCAATGTCAAAAGTTACGTAGTATTTCTCAATACAATGAGTTAACAAGAGTTTGGCAATAAGTAACAGTGTGGATTTTTCTATATTTTCTTTTTTTATTCCACTCTCAACCCAAAAAGGCAAGTAATGACTCACAGGGCTCTCAAGTATGCAAAGTAAAAACTTAAATGACCTGTTGTGGTGTGTTTTGCGCACAACCAGCATGCATCGTTAACGCAATGGAAAATTTAGGTATCCGAGCTTTAATTTCGGGAGCGCTGGTTGCGCTTTGGGAAGAGTCAGGGGAGAGACATGTCAGAGACACAGGGGAGAAACGGGGGAGATACGAGGGAGACCCGCACTTGCAACATGGTTCTGTCTGCATATGGTCCGAGCTCGGTACCATGTTAGAGCTCTGCTTTCACTGAGCGCCGCGGCTGTCATTACAAAGCGGCAGCAGCTGCACCAGGACGTGCACATTCGAGTGCATCGCTTGAATGTGCTTAGAGCAAATAACAGCAAGTGCCCGCTGTCACACATTTCACAGAAATTACATTATCAGCAGATAAAGGTTGTAAATCGTGGATCCGTGGAATATTTTCATCCCTAGTTTATCCTAATTCACACAACACACCCACTCATACATTTTGGATAGTAAGAGCACAATAAGTATTTTTTCAGCCTTTCAACCAACCTGTTTCTTTATTGGAGCCAGTTCTGTTCTGTCTCTGTGCCGTGTGAGCTCCTCGGAACATTAAACAGTGCGCTGACAGATTAGAAATAACGTAAGTACTTTGAATGGTAATAGATCTACAGTACTTTCCTCTGATTACTCACGTGCTACAACGCTCAGGGAACAAAAAAAAAACCACTTGCTTCACGCTGGCTAACTTTTAAAAATTAAACAGTCGCTCAGTGCTTCAGTTTGGCGCTGAAGAAGACAGCCAATCACTGCAGAGAACGGAACGGGTCACGTGCTGCTGCTGCTGCTGTTGCTCTGGAGGCGAGGAGGAGGCGCGACGTATGCACAAACGGAAGACATGTGTCCCGGACCGTCCGGGTCACGGGACATCATGTCATTTTGGTGGGGACTTTAGTCCTCACCAAATATTGGTGGGGACATGTCCCCATGGTCCCCACGCAAACCTACGCCCTTGACCCACCGTGCCCCCCTTGTCCATGCCGGCCCTGATGCTCTCTGTCAGGTAGCAGCAGGCAGCATCAGTGGAATGATGTCTGCGAAAACCGAATTGCATTTGATGCAAAACATTATTATCGTTTAGATGTTCCGTTAACTGCTCTATGATTACTTTTTCTAATATTTTTGATACTACAGGTAGTAAACTAATGGGCCTATAGTTACTAACCTCATTTTTGCTACCAGATTTATGAATTGGAGTTATAACTGCTGTTTTGAAGACACTAGGGAACACACTTTCATTAATAGATTTGTTCACAATTTGGGCTATTGTTGTTGTTAGAGTCTCCCTATGTTTTTTGATTAGTGTGTTGTCAAGTCCCCAGTAGTCTTTAGCCTTTGAATTTGATAAAGATTGTATTATTTTACCTATTTTGGCATTATCAATACTTTTGAATTTTAGTGCAGTACTGGAGAAGAATGCAGGTGGTGAGATCTGTAACACAGGTGTAATGTGAGATCTGTAACACAGGTGTAATGTGAGATCTGTAACACAGGTGTAATATGAGGTCTGTAACACAGGTGTAATGTGAGGTCTAACACAGGTGTAATATGAGGTCCTTAACACAGGTGTAATATGAGGTCCTTAACACAGGTGTAATATGAGGTCCTTAACACAGGTGTAATATGAGGTCCTTAACACAGGTGTAATATGAGGTCTGTAACACAGGTGCAATGTGAGATCTGTAACACAGGTGTAATGTGAGATCTGTAACACAGGTGTAATGTGAGATCTGTAACACAGGTGTAATGTGAGATCTGTAACACAGGTGTAATGTGAGATCTGTAACACAGGTGTAATGTGAGATCTGTAACACAGGTGTAATGTGAGATCTGTAACACAGGTGTAATATGAGGTCTGTAACACAGGTGTAATGTGAGGTCTAACACAGGTGTAATATGAGGTCCTTAACACAGGTGTAATATGAGGTCCTTAACACAGGTGTAATATGAGGTCTGTAACACAGGTGCAATGTGAGATCTGTAACACAGGTGTAATGTGAGCTCTGTAACACAGGTGTAATGTGAGATCTGTAACACAGGTGTAATGTGAGATCTGTAACACAGGTGTAATGTGAGATCTGTAACACAGGTGTAATGTGAGATCTGTAACACAGGTGTAATGTGAGGTCCTTAACACAGGTGTAATATGAGGTCCTTAACACAGATGTAATATGAGGTCCTTAACACAGGTGTAATATGAGGTCTGTAGCACAGGTGTAATGTGAGGTCTGTAACACAGGTGTAATGTGAGGTCTGTAACACAGGTGTAATATGAGGTCCTTAACACAGGTGTAATATGAGGTCCTTAACACAGGTGTAGTATGAGGTCCTTAACACAGGTGTAATGTGAGGTCTTTTATCCTCAGATATCTATCTTGTCTTGTTTTTGGTGAGGTGTTTTTTCCCATTCTTCCTCAGGAGTCCAGTTGGGTCTTCCTCTTCTCCTTCTTGGCTGTTCCTTCGCTGCTGCAGCTCTGTGTTTTACCTTTTCTCCCTGAGAGTCCGCGGTTCCTGCTGATGGAGCGGAGAGACGAGAAGGCGGCTGAGAAAGGTATGAAACCACTACTACTATTACTATACTGCAGCTACTACAGCTACTACGATACAACTACAGCTACAGCTACTACTACTACTGCTGCTGCTACTACAAGCCCTGCTTTGCTTCAGAGGTCTGACAGGATCTGACTTTCACCTGCAGTTGGCGTCACAACTACTCACTTAGCCAATCAGCTCTCAGAGTTTAATAGACAATGACAGGTTGTGGTCTCTGAGCGTTTCCCTGGAGACGGATTCAAGTGTGAAACAGAACAATTCCCACGAGGCGCAAACAACATTTATTTCAGGCGCCACACGAGAGACGTGTTTGGACTTCATGTGTTAATGACATGTTACAAAACTGCGTCTGAACAAAGCCCTTTCATCTTTCACTCTTTATGTGACTTTATGTAACTTCAAAGCTGGTGTACGTAATTTTCAGACCACAATAGAATTCTGCAAAAACCTTTGTCTCTAGTTCCTGGCTCTAAAACAGTTGCTTCTATCACTAGTTTTCATATCATGTCTTTCTGGCCTCTGTCACATATTTTCAGACAAAAAAAATCAGAAAAAAGTGAAAAAGGGAGGATCACCCTTACTCCGCCAATCAGCTCTCAACCCACGTTGTGATCTGATTTGTTCACAAAAACTTACTTTAATACTCTTTCTGTTCAAACTATGTGTTATTTATGAGACCAAAGTTATGTACCCCAGCTTTAAACATTATTTATGAGACTAAAGTTACCTCAGCTTTAATATCTTTGTTGGCTTGTCTACAGAGATATTAAAGCTTGTGTGGATTCAGCTGCTTATATCAGCTCATCCTCCTGCTTTCATGTTTGTTTACTGTCAAGGTGAAACTCCAGACATACACACGCACACCTGCGCACACACAGACACACACCTGCACACACACGCACAGATGAATGTTGCTCTGATGGAGAACACGCTCAGAAACTCGAATACATGCGTTCAACATGAGAAACATAGGGCCATAGACACCTGGAGGCTGCATCTCTCACGTGGCGTGAGATGAAGTAGGACCCAAACGCAGGAATGAAAAAATAATGATTTAATAAAATAAAGTCCAAGGTGGAAACAAATCTCAAAAATCCAAAGGAATAGGGACAGAACTTGACGAGAACAAGGGGAGAGGAGCACAGGGTACAAATAGACACAGGCACAGGTGAAACACAGGGGGCGGGGCAGACAATCAAAAGGGGAACAGGACAGGAAGCAAAACTGAAATGAAACCCACAGAACCAATGTCATAATAAAACCAGATACAGAAATAAAATCCACACCATGACAGTAACCCCCTCCAAGGGACAGCTCCCAGATATTCCAAAAGAAACAAGCCAGGGAGGGTGAAGGGGGCCAGAAGGATGGGTCAGAGGCAGTTCAGAGCCCAGACGATAGTTCTCTTAAAACAAAGGGGCAGGGGCAGAGCCCAGTGGTGACCTCCCACTAGGGAACTGGCTCATCCCAGACAGAGACTCGTGCCCGGCAGTGAGCCACACAGAAAACAGAACCAACCCCAGACTGACATCAATGTCTGGCGGTGGCAACAGGTGAGGGCATCGGAAAGGTCATCGTTGGTTTGCAGGCAGACACAGAACATCCAGATAACAACTTCACGATAGACCTCTCAACAGGTAAGGGAGGGAACAGAGGACCACCCCGAACGGAGACAAATGCCCGGCGAAAGTTCGAAGGGACACAGGAGTACCACCCCAGACGGAGGTTCATGTCTGGCAGTGGTTCCAGATAACAAGTTGAGAGGTCGGCTGGGATGAGATGGCGAGGCATAAAATAAAACAAAAACCTGACACGTGGTGAAGAACAGGGAGCAGGTAAAAAAGGCATTCCGCTGAGTCCATTTGTGGCTGGTTCATTCTATCACGTGGTGGAAATGAGGAGGACTCAGGAATGCAAAAAAAGGATGATTTAATAAAATAAAAGCCCAGGTGAAAACTAAACTCAAAATCCAAAATGCAGAACCAGGAACAAAGACAGAACTTGACAAGGCAAAACAGGACGTCGACAATACAATGGACCAGCAACAAGAGGAGAGAAGCACAGCGTACATAGACACAGACACAGGTGAAACACATCAGGGCGGGGCAGACAATCAAGAGGGGAACAACACAGGAAGAAAAACGAAAACCAAATCACAGAACTGATATCAGGTTGTAATGCCAAACATACTGTATCTGTTGTCCCTCCAAGGGACAGCTCCCAGATGTCCCAAAAAACACAGAACCAAAAGTTGAGCCACGGAGGATGGAGGAGGAGCGTCCAGAGGCAGTGAAACCTTAGGTCAGCAGCAGGGTCAAAACAAATCAGTGGTTAGATCCTGAGGTCCTGAGAACTTCAGTGGACATTGTATCATTTGGCCTACAGAGTGTTGGATAAGAGCAGCTCCTCTCTCCTTTTCTCCTCTCTCTCCTCTTTCCTCTCTCCCCTCTCATCTCCTCAGCCCCCCCAGAGGTTCCTCAGTTCATAAACTCTCTCCTCTCGCCCGTCTCTCCTCCTCTCTTCCTCTCTATCCCCTCCTCTCTCTCTTCTCTCATCTCCCCTTTCTCCCCTTCACCCTCTCTTCTCTCTCCCCTCTCCTCTCTCCCCTTTCTCCCCGCTCTTATCTCTCCTCTCTCCTCCTCAGCCTTCCAGCGCCTCCTGGGTAGGTCTGACGTCTCCGTGGAGTTGGAGGAGGTGCATGCAGAGGCGAGGGCTCAGACCACGACCCACACGGTCAGCGTCCTGCAGCTGCTCAGAACTCGCTCTGTCAGATGGCAACTCATCACCATCATTGTCACCATGGCCTGCTACCAGCTCTGTGGGCTGAACGCGGTGAGGAGAGCTACTACTGCTGCTACTACTACTGCTGCTGCTACTGCTGCTACTACTGCTGCTACTACTGCTGCTACTGCTGCTACTATCCTCTCTCCCTATTCTCTCCTCTCCTCTTCTATCCTTTCTCCCTCCTCTCCTTCTATTCTCTCCCTCCTCTCTCCTCTTCTATCCTCTTTCCTCTTCTCCCTCCTCTTCTATTCTCTCTCCCTCCTCTTCTATCTTCTCTCCTCTCCTCTTCCTCCTCTCTCCTCTCCTCTCCTCTCTCCTTCTATCCTCTCTTCCTCTTCAATCCTCTCTTCCTCATCTATCCTATCTCCTCTTCTATCCTTTCTCCCTCCTCTCCTTCTATTCTCTCTCCCTCCTCTCTCCTCTTCTATCCTCTTTCCTCTCCTCTCCCCTCTTCTATCCTTTCTCCCTCCTCCCTCCTTTTCTATCCTCTCTCTTCTCCTCTTCCTCCTCTCTCCTCTTCTATCCTCTCTCCTCTTCTATCCTCTCTCCTCTTCTATCCTCTCTTCCTCTTCACCTCTCTTCCTCTTCTATCCTCTCTTCCTCTTCTATCCTCTCTCCTCTCCTCTCTCCTCTTCTATCCTCTCTCCTCTCCTCTCCTCTCTTCTCTCCTCTCTCCTCTCCTCTCTTGTCTAATGAGTGGTCTGTGAAGGGGTGCGTGGGCAGAGGGTCACTGTGAAACACGCACACACTTCACATTCCAGTGGTGTATTTTCAGGAAATCAATTCACCGTTCCCGTAGCAATGGCAGGGACACCTCATATTAATGAATGTAAAATTCTCATAACTCAAGTCAGACTGTGTTCAGACGTATGCAGTTTGTAAACACACATAACCAAAGCTAAGATCTTTCAAATGTGTGTGATGTATGTGTGTCATACACCACCAGCAGGGGGTGCAGCAGGCAGAATGAGGCCCATTTTGTTCAGTTGTGCCTTGTTGGTTTGGCAGGTGGCTGAGTGGACACGGATAGCACTGTCGCTTCTCAGCAAGAAGGTTCTGGATTTGAATCCCGGTTGGAACTCGGCATTTTTGAGTGGAGTTTACATGTTCTCCCCGTGTCTGTGTAGGTTTCCTTCGGGCGCTCTGGTTTCCCCTACCACTAAAAACATGTACAATAGGTATGAATGTAATAAGTGATTGAATGGATGGTGTTGGGGGGGCTTTGATGCGCCAATGTGTTCAGTGTCTTTCTTCCGTCATCACCGTGTGTGAATTGAAAAAAACTGATTTCTGAACATTGTAAAGTGCTTTGGGTGACCTTCGTCTGTATAATGCGCTATAGAAATTACTTACTTACTAATTGCGAGGGCCGCCCTCACCACTTGCATTCATATTGTGTTTGTGTTTTGATCACGGATGTCTGTCTGAACATGAAGTTCCTCTTAGACACATACGTTTATTAGGTTTATTATTATTGGCAGCGCTCCCCTCCACAGAGCTGGTCTCACAGTGTTAAAACAGCTCTCCTCGATGCTTAGAAGGATCTATTTGTAAGTACTTGGCCGCATCCGTAACAATAGCTCATACAAAACATGTCACACCTCTGATGAAGGCGGAAGTCTACCATAGATCGATCTGACAGTCTGTCAGTCTGACAGATCGATCTTATCCGTCAGACTCACCATGCCCCTGCCATGCTGTGGTGGGGAAGTGAGTAACAAGTGTGAGCCAAGGAAAAAGCCCCTTCGTCTCTGTTAATTTCCTCCGGGTGCTCCGGTTTCCCGTACCACTAAAAATATGCACACTAGGTTAAATACTACTAAAATAATATGACCAAGCCAAGCATCAACATCTGGAGATGGGTTCCCGGACGCTGTTCTACGGCGACCACTGATTCATCCTGACCACTGGCGTCAGGATGGGTCAAATGCAGAGGATGAATTGCCCTACTGCAGGGGTGCTCACACTTTTTCAGCATGCGAGCTACTTATAAAAGGATCAAGTCAAAATGATCTACCTACTACAAAAATGCTAATCATATATTTATTTCAAAAAATATTCTTTATACCTACAATGTATGTTTATGTACATGCAAAACCGCATGAGCCAATATAGCACAACACAACACAATTATCTATGTACATTTTTTGTCATTACCCAAGTTTACTCTGATGACTTGCACTGAATTGAATCGGCCAGGGATGCATAGTCCGGAAAATTGGTGGTAACTCGCTGACAAGTTTGTCGTGGTTTAGCTTTCCTGAACTGAGCGCGGTTGTTTGCGCATGTGCAGTCACCTAAGTGTCAGTAAAACATTACTGAGTAAAACACAGATGTCATTTGACTGTGGTGCCATGTCCATGTGCCATGCCTGGTTTTTTTAAATACAAATATTTCCCCTCCTCCGTTTATAAAATAATTTGCATCCACACATCTGCGTTATCAATCACATTCGTAACATTCCAAACATGTGCGTCTCTTACGTCCTGTCCTGCGTTGGGGAAAAACACAGAAGTGGGCGGAGCTTTGATGCAGACGCCGGTAACGGCACTTTTACAGTCATAGAAGACACTCAGAGTAAAGACATATGTTTACAAGCACTGACCCCGTCCTCAGCCCTGGTTTAGTCCTGGTTTAGTCCTGGTTTAGTCCGGGTTTAGTCCTGGTTTGGTTGTTTTCGAGCGTGAGTCCCCGCGATCACTTTGCTGCTCTCTGATGTGGAGGATGTTCGCTGCTGCGAGCATCTCACAGCGAACAGTTTTTAAGGTAGTATGATCCATGCTTCAGTGATCAGAGGAATTTAGGGGGGTACTGTGGCGTGCGAGAACGCAAAACTCCGGTTATCTCTGACTACACACAAATGCATTAACGGAGTTTTCAAAAATCTCCACTTTGCCCGGAGTTTTTTGTATATATTCGTTTAGAATGTGTAATTTTTTATTTATTTAATGCGATCTACCAATACTACCTTTGCGATCGACCGGTAGATCGCGATCGACGTATTGAGCACCCCTGCCCTACTGGATAAAAAAAATGCATTTTTTTACCTTTACAAAGCTGATCTCACTGTAAGTAAGTAAGTAAGTAAGTAAGTTTTTATTTATATACCGCCTTTTCACTGCAGATCTGAGTCTCAAAGCGGTTTACAATTGTTAATTTTGGGCATTTGTCTCTCACTCCACACAGAGATGGGAGCGGGGCCAGTACAGGAGGCGCATGCTAGAACTATTGGACATATTTTTAGTGGTAGGGGAAACCGGAGCACCCGGAGGAAACCTACGCAGACACGGGGAGAACATGCAAACTCCACTCAGAAAGGCCCTGGTCCGGCCGGGATTTGAACCCAGGACCTTCTTGCTGAGAGGCGAGAGTGCTATCCACTCAGCCACCGTGCCGCTCTCACTGTGTTATAATGGTGCTCGCCTCTCCACAGATCTGGTACTACACCAATGGGATCCTTGAGGAGGCGGGGTTTGCGCAGTCTATTCTGCCATACATAACTCTGAGCACCGGAGCTGTTGAAACGCTGGCAGCAGTTGTATCTGTGAGTACTTTTATACTTTTATACTTTTACTACTACTCCTACTAGCCAGCTTAACAAACTGATCAGGAAATGTGTTTCTTTGATGGGGAGAAGTTTGGACTCTGTGAGCTGTGCTGGAGAGAAGGAGGGCTCTAAGGCAGGGCATCCTGGGTAACTCAGAACACCCTCTGCATGACATTACGGCCGCTCAGAGGAGTAACCGAGTAACCATTCCAGAACGGATCGTTTTAAGAGATCCTTTATTACTTCGGCTATTAGACTGTACAACAGATATGTGTGGCATTACAACCTGCAGGTGGGCTCCATGACACTCTTTTGTCCTTGTTTTTTATTGGTCAATCGTCCCATCAATCACTCAATAAAATCTATGCATACACTTTCACTAGTCCTCTGAAATCACGCTATTCCTCATTATAAATTAATGTAGCATATTCTTAAAACTGTGTTTAAAAGCAAACAACTAGATGCAATGGTGTAGGTTTGGTTCCAATCTTGGTGGGGACATTCACTACAACCCTTCTATACTAAACTCAGCTGTAGACTGAATGAGAAGCAGTTAAGGATTTTTTCTAATAGTTAAAACAAAATCAATTGGATCAGAGCTTCTGAGTTTTGTGTTGCGTTCATTCTAACTTTGTCCACAAGATGGCTTAAATGTTTATAGTAAATAAGATAGTAAATATATCCTGTATTCAGGATCAGGCTGATATGGTTTACAACCTATCTCAAATATGCTGTCCCTGGCACTTTCTTGAGAGTGACTCTCATTGGCTGCCTCCTAAATAGCAAATACACTGTTATGAAACATTAAAAAATCCCATATTTTATCTTCATAATTCCAGCCTCACCTGAAGCCCAGCTTCGATATCTGCCTGCACTACATCTTCCCTGAATACCTGAGTTCCCTATAATAAATAAAACACATGTAGTACATTAAACAAATCAGATCTAAGCATATACAAAATAAAACCACCAACAAAACCAAATAAATACTTTCAACCTCACCTGAAGCCCTGAAGGTCCAGCCACTTCCTCATCCTCTACCAGCACTGCACATTCCCTGTTTGTCTGACTTTCCTTTATGGTATTAATAAAAACAAACATTCTACATTGAATAAAATGAAACCTAGGCATGGTACACCAGTCGCTAAATATCTCATGAAACTAGAATTGGTTGATGGGTCTAAGATTATAACTGCTTAATCCTAACCTCACCTGGAGTCCTGTCTTGTCCTTGTCTTTATCTCCTTCTTGAATTTCCATTATATCTCTCAGAGTGTCCTATATTTAGTAAAAGATTTCAGACAACACTTTTTTCATCATTATAGTAGTAAAATATGTTGTAATTGGCATAGGTAATTTCCAACCAAATGATGTTCTTTAACTTTAGTATGATTCTATACTGAGTTAAACCTAATCCAAATCTACATAATAGCCCTCACCTGAGGCTCTAACAGTTCAGGAACTGCTCTCGATACTTGAAATAAATCATGCTCTGATCTTTCAATTTCCTATAATAAATAAAAACAGAGGAGAAAATATTGAATTAGAATCTACAGTGAGTAGCTCACTACATTGTTTGACATATACGATCAATCTCTAAAAACAATTCATAGTCCCATGCATACCTACAAAATTCCAACCTCACCTGATGCACTGAAGGGCCTGTTGCTTCTACCTCAACATTCCCTATATTGTTCTCTCTTGTTGGTTGAGTTTCCTATGTATGTTAACAGAAGATTAATCATCACAATTCATAATTTGCTATTACTTGTGCTTTCACTTACTTACTTTCCAACTGTTAAAAAAGCTCCTGATATCTTTTATCTTTTTTTGTGGAGGTGGCATTTTTTCTAAATTATATAAGAAGGTATAGACAATCAAAAACAGACATTCATATACATGAACTGCAGAATCATTTATATAACTTGGCCAATGTCAAAAGTTACATAGTATTTCTCAATACAATGAGTTAACAAGAGTTTGGCAATAAGTAACAGTGTGGATTTTTCTATATTTTCTTTTTTTATTCCACTCTCAACCCAAAAAGGCAAGTAATGACTCACAGGGCTCTCAAGTATGCAAAGTAAAAACTTAAATGACCTGTTGTGGTGTGTTTTGCGCACAACCAGCATGCATCGTTAACGCAATGGAAAATTTAGGTATCCGAGCTTTAATTTCGGGAGCGCTGGTTGCGCTTTGGGAAGAGTCAGGGGAGAGACATGTCAGAGACACAGGGGAGAAACGGGGGAGATACGAGGGAGACCCGCACTTGCAACATGGTTCTGTCTGCATATGGTCCGAGCTCGGTACCATGTTAGAGCTCTGCTTTCACTGAGCGCCGCGGCTGTCATTACAAAGCGGCAGCAGCTGCACCAGGACGTGCACATTCGAGTGCATCGCTTGAATGTGCTTAGAGCAAATAACAGCAAGTGCCCGCTGTCACACATTTCACAGAAATTACATTATCAGCAGATAAAGGTTGTAAATCGTGGATCCGTGGAATATTTTCATCCCTAGTTTATCCTGATTCACACAACACACCCACTCATACATTTTGGATAGTAAGAGCACAATAAGTATTTTTTCAGCCTTTCAACCAACCTGTTTCTTTATTGGAGCCAGTTCTGTTCTGTCTCTGTGCCGTGTGAGCTCCTCGGAACATTAAACAGTGCGCTGACAGATTAGAAATAACGTAAGTACTTTGAATGGTAATAGATCTACAGTACTTTCCTCTGATTACTCACGTGCTACAACGCTCAGGGAACGAAAAAAAACCACTTGCTTCACGCTGGCTAACTTTTAAAAATTAAACAGTCGCTCAGTGCTTCAGTTTGGCGCTGAAGAAGACAGCCAATCACTGCAGAGAACGGAACGGGTCACGTGCTGCTGCTGCTGCTGATGCTCTGGAGGCGAGGAGGAGGCGCGACGTGTGCACAAACGGAAGACATGTGTCCCGGACCGTCCGGGTCACGGGACATCATGTCATTTTGGTGGGGACTTTTTAGTCCTCACCAAATATTGGTGGGGACATGTCCCCATGGTCCCCACGCAAACCTACGCCCTTGACTAGATGAAGGGTTCTGGAGGGAAAGTACGGAAGCTTGTTAGGTTCACTTGTGAGTGTGTTTTTTTTTTCCGCTGGTATCATGTTATTTCATGATACGCAACGATCATGTTATTTCATGATACCAATTTACAGTATCATGTTATTTCATGATACCAATTTACAGTATCATGTTATTTCATGATACCAGTTTATCATGAAATGACATGATACTATAGATACAGAAGAAGAATAAGCTGTCAGCTTCTGATAAATTGGTATCATGAAATAACATGATAAATTGGTATCATGAAATAACATGATACAATGGTATCATGAAATAACAAGATTGTTGTGTATCATGAAATAACATGATATTTATCATGGTATTTCATGGAAGTATCATGAAATAACATGATACCAGCGGGAAAAAAACACACTCACAAGTGTACAAGCTTCCAAAGGAAAGAGACAGCATTTTTTGTAATTTTTTTAAAATTTTCTTCAAACTTGAAGAGAGGCAAAGAGCCACATTCTGACTGGCTGTGAGCCGCTGCTGTTTATTTTGACTCTCGCGAAGCATTGTATTGGAATAATTGACCATTGTGAGTTTGTTTATGTGGTCTGTCAAGGTTCAATGCAACTGTTGTATACAATTAAGATATATTTGACAGACAAGACACTTGTCGGCAGTGTTTGGCTGAAATTAGGACCACGGGGCGGGCGATCAAGGTGGCAGGGTGCCACGCTCTGATAAAACTTGTAATAGGGAACACTGGAGGAGTGGACTGATGGAGTGTGACATCACCACAGTGGTAGCCTTAATGCAGGAGATGTTGATTTGAGCTAAGCGAGCTGGAGCTGATTTCCAACAGCATTAGCTTTGTACTGTAACAGGAGCAGACGCTTTGCTAAGACGGTTGCTAAGGCAAACTGCCTTCCCCTGCTAATTTAGCCTAGCCTTATAGCTATCCGTAAACACCGGTAAATTATTGTTTCCCTACATGTACGTCTGGGTCTGGTCCCGGTGGCTGCAGTTGTATCCCATCCAACCAATCAGCGAGCAGGGGAGGCAGGTGTTTTAGGTGGGTGTCTGTGACGTCAATAGTTTGCGCCAAATTTGCCGATTGTAGTTTGGCAATGGCGACGAATGCGATAGTAAAGTAATCCGTTCTGGTTCGGCTCCAAATATCAATAAATTGAAGTAGTAAGAGGAGCAAGAGGAATGTTTAGCAATTGTCATTGCTGGCAAAGATGTTGTGGATCTACTCCCTCCATAGGCTCCGTTAGTGGCAAAGGAGATGGCTAAAGGTTGGCTAAATGCTAGTGACTCACTCGGTGCGCAATACATACGTCATGGCAAATTCAGATCCAATTGTTGCAATCTGCAAAAGGAGTTCACACCTTCCACCTTTTAATGGAGCTCAATTGAGCAAATCCAGACCTTAGTACAAAATTGTATTTGTATGTCGTGTGGTAAGACCAGTGGGGGCGGGTCCCGGCTCAAAAGTGGCCAAAATGACGTGCGCTGACATGCTTGCAATACCACCCTGGGCCGATGGGGATGGACCCGGAATAGGAATTAGCCAATGCTAACATATAGCATCTTCTTGCCTCTCGAAAACGTCTTTACAGGATGATCCAAAAGTTGGCTCTTGGCCCAAAGCTCCGTTCCACATGTGTGTCAATGCTGAGGGGGGTGATTTTTTTCGGACCACTCTAGTTTACTCGCTGTGAATTTTTTAAGTCTCTCGTTCAAATGAATGGAGCTGTGCCAGCTGACGCATGCGCAGATGCGTTTTTTCACAATTTTCTTGTGGGCGGGACCACTCGCGGCCATTTTGGATAGCTCCAGTAGAGCACATTTGTTGGCCAATTTGTTTGAACGGCGGAGATAGGCATGACTGCGTCCGTTAATATTTACAATCTATGGGTAAGACCAGGCAACTGCTGATTGGTCAAGCCTTGTGATAATATAATCACCAGGATCACTGAGAGCGCAAAACTGTAAACTTCTTCAGTGTGAGATCAATACATGTCACACCTATGGGGCTCTTATCTCATGTGCGCCCCAGAGTCACCTACCTTGGCGTCATCTTAGACAGTGATTTTAAACTTGATAAACAAATTAAACGCATTTTAAAATCAAGTTTTTATCATTTGTGACTTTTCTCTAAAATAAAACCTTTTTAATCTTTTAATCTTTTTGAGCAGGTTTCTATTTCTTCACGCCTGGACTATTGCAATTCACATTATACGGGCATCCCCCAAAACGCACTTTCCTGTCTGCAGTTTGTCCAAAACACAGCGGCACAAGTTTTAACAGGAAGCAAAAGGCGCGATCATATTACACCAATTCCTGTTCATTTTACAATCGATTTTAGGATTTTAATTTTTGTTTTTAAAGCTTTGAATGGACTGGTCCCTTCTTACATCTCGGACCTCATTCAAATTTACCATCCGCCCCGCGGGCTCAGGTCCGAGGGCCAGCTCCAGCTTGTGGTACCTAGGACGAGACTTCAAACCCGGGGGTTGCTTCTCTGTGGCTGGACCAAAGCTGTGGAACGCTCTGTCCCCCCATATTCTAACTGCTCCCTCTGTGGAGAGCTTTAAGTCTCGTCCATGGATCTATAATAATAACTGGATAGGGTATTACTAGCTTATAGCTGTCCCACCCATGGGCACAGGGGGCGCCCGTGGTACTGCAGACTAAATTCACGTGGGCTACCCAAGAAAAGAGTCCCATAGAACTCAATGTAAACTAAACCAGCTCAATCTCAGCTGACAGAGAACCTACAACTTTCAGAAAGATCGGATTTTGTGGGGATTTTAGTGTCCCTTGTCATCCTGAACTTTTCTTCTTCCTAAATCATTCGGTTTTCTTTAAATCCACACTTTACTGCCACAAACTCTGCTCCTTTCCTTAACGCTCTGGCTCTGCTCTACTCTCTCTGATGATCAGCTCTGATTGGTCAGAGCGTGGCCGAGCCCCTCTGTGCATGTGCATGAAAGCCACACACGCACGTTTGGCACAACGCATCATGGGAGCTCTTCCACTGCGCAGAACCGGGAGGACCAGACGATGCCCAAATCTCCCGGTCTCCGTGAAGTCCCATGCGCTACTGAGCACAAGCCATTCATTTGAATAGGGCGCCATCTTGGATCACTGGGGCATGGTCTCGTCTTAAGACCCATTTTTATGCTCTGGCTTTTAACACTGCATGTGTTGTATGGTCCTTTTATTTCCATCCATCCATCCATCCATCTTCTTCCCTTTAATCCATTTCTGGGTCAGGGGGGTGGCAGTCAGAGATGCCACCCAAGTCTCATAGCACCAGCCCCTCACTGACCCTCTGCAGGTGGTGAGTCCACAGGAGGACGGCTGCTCTCTGAGTGTGAGCATAGCCTTGATCTTTCAGTGGGGGCTTTGGGCAAAGTGGGGTTAAGTGTCTTGCCCAAGGACACAACGACAGCAGTCATCAGTGGGAGTCGGTGGAGAAGGTGCAGAGGTGGGAATTGAACCCACGACCTTCTGGCCTTTAGGCCAATGCTCTACCAACTGAGCTACTGTCGCGCTTTTATATTATTTTATTTATTATTATTATTATTTATTTATGTTTTTAGACATATGTGCACACACGGTTTTTCCTATTTGATTTTTTAATGATTATACTGTTTTACTATGGATTTGTTTTCATTATTCTATTGTGCAGCACTGTGGAAACTGTATTTTTGAAATGTGCTATACAAATAAAGTGGATTGGATAGGGTCATTTTGGGCATAAAACCACAGATTTAAGCCCAAAATGATGAGTGTGACACAAACGGAGCGCAGGGGAAGCTCCAGTTTGCCTTAGCAACCATGAAAGCAACACGGCACGAAGCTAACACTGTCAGTAGTAAGTAAGTAAGTAAGTAAGTTTTTATTTATATACCGCCTTTTCACTGCAGATCTGAGTCTCAAAGCGGTTTACAATTAATTTTGGGCATTTGTCTCTCACTCCACACAGAGATGGGAGCGGGGTCGCCAGTACAGGAGGCGCATGCCAGAACTATTGGACATATTTTTAGTGGTAGGGGAAACCGGAGTACCCGGAGGAAACCTACGCAGACACGGGGAGAACATGCAAACTCCACTCAGAAAGGCCCTGGTCCGACCGGGATTTGAACCCAGGACCTTCTTGCTGAGAGGCGAGAGTGCTATCCACTCAGCCACCGTGCCGCCCGTGCCGTCAGGACCGTGCCGTCAGGACAAATGCCTATAGACGGAGGATGGCTCAAGCTCGCTTCCCACTCTTTCAGTCCACTTTTCATGTACTGAGTCTGAGAGGGAAGCGTTTAAGTCTCAAAGAACAGACTTGTATGTGACGTGTTTCCTCCGCTCTGTGAAGCTGCGCTTGTATGTTTGATGTAAATATGAAAGAATAATCCTCTGTCACATCCTCCTCAGTACTCTCTGGTCTCTCTCTGGTCTCTCTCTGGTCTCTCTCTCTCTGGTCTTTCTCTGGTCTCTCTGGTCTCTCTCCCAGCTCTCTCTCTATTGTTTTTTCTCTCTTCTCTCTCACTGTTCCCTCTTTGGTCTTGCTCTCTGGTCTCTCATTCACTGGTCTCTCTCTGCCTTCTATCCAGTCTCTCTGGTCTAGCCTCTTTCTTGTCTCTGGTCTCTCTCTCTTGTCTCTCTCTCTCACTAATCTCCCCCCCATCCCTCCAATCTCTCTCTGCTCCCTCTCTCCTGTTTCTCTCTGGTCTCTCTCTGGACTATCTCTGATCTCTCTCCAATCTCGCTGGTTTTTCTCTCTGGCCTCTCTCTGGTCTTTCTCTGTTTCTCTTTATATTCTCTCTCTGGTATCTCCCTGGTCTCTCTGGTCTCTCTTCTCTTCCTGGCCTCTCTCTAGTCTTTTTCTGGGCTCACTCTCCAACAAATCCTGCGGGTGCTGAGGTGTTTGGATTATATTTGGCTGAAGTTTTTTGTTTTTGAGCTGGCAACAGTCTTATGCACAGAGCCTCTTTCATGTGGGGTCCCCCAGGGGTCCGTCCTCAGGCCTCTTCTGTTCCTACTGTGCTGTACATTAGAGCCCCCAGGTTATGCTCTCAGGATGGGGTCTGGCTTTCATCTCTGTGCTGACGACAGCTCCCTTTAAGCACAGAGTGCAAGTGGGATTAAAATTGAGACCTCTGCACATTTATTGCATTTCAACCACCGAATTAAAATCTTTTTAGTGGAACAATTAAATGCAGGCACCAGGAGATAAATTTTTTATTTGTAAAATCTATTACCATTGTATCAAACTGTTTTAAACTCGTCTACATGACACTTTCTGTTTCTGGTCTCTCTGGTCTCTCTCACTGGTCTCTCTCTGGTCTCTCTCGCTCGGTTCTCTCTCTGGTCTCTGACTTGTTCTGAAAATGCAACTCTGAGTTTCTCATATATAACAGAAAAACAGGTGAGTGTTAACCACAGACCCTCTGTGACATCACCACAGACCATATTTTTAAGAGTGGTATATCTGGATTTACAAAGACAATACCACAATATAAACACAAGGATCACAGCGCGCACACAACCAGAGATTTAAGCCCAAAATGGTGAGTGTGGCTCAACGGTTACTGAGCTAGAAGAGTTTACTCTTACATGTGAGTCAATAGGAGTATTCTATAACAGTGAAAAAAGCAGGTGGTTTATGTTTCACGTCATCAGTCTCTCTCGCTCGGGGCCATGTCTTTGAATGCATATTATTACAGTTCTCCTCCGCATGTTCCGATTCTCGGGCTGTAACGGTCCCCTAAGGCCTCGGCCTTCGCTCCCGAGTCCACGTCTACGTGTGTGTGTGTCCCGGAGAGCTGGAGTCTCATCAAGTGTGTGTGAGTGTGTGTGTTTGTGTGTCGGGGAGCAGGAGTCTCATTTGAATTACATGTCGAGATTACCGGGAGCTAGGGAGACAGGAGCGTCAGCAGCGAACGTGTTTTCATCACAAAGAGACGATTTATGATTTAAACAGGGGTGAATGTTTGTGTGTTTGTGTCATCTGGAGAATACTGAGGGATTTCAGCTTATAGAAGGTGGAATAGGATGCAGCTCTTACAAACATTTCCAAAGCTTTGAACTGTTCAATCCATTTCTCACAAATCTCACTCTCTGGTTGCTTCCTTAAGGCTCTCACTCTCTGCAGGGGCTGGTGATTGAGAGGATAGGCAGGAAGCCTCTCTTGATCTTCGGTTTCTCTGCGATGGCCGTGTTCTTCAGCCTCCTCACAGTCTTCCTCAGCTTCCAGGTGATTCTCCTCCTTTCTCTCTGGTTTGGGTTAGGGTTAGGGTCGCTCTCTCTGGTCTCTATTTCTATGATCTTTCTGGTCTGTCTCTGGTCTCTCTCTTGTTTCCCTCTGGTATCTCTCTGGTCTCTCTCTGGTCTCTCTCTGGTCTCTCTCTGGTCTCTCTCTGGTCTCTCTTTCTGGTCTCTCTCTGGTCTCTCTTTGGTCTCTCTCTGGTCTCTCTGGTTCTCCTTAGATTAGTTCAGATCTTCACATCAGTGTGTTTTCTTCAGGACTCTGTGACCTGGATGCCGTACCTCAGCTACATCTGCATCCTGGCTGTGATCGCCTCCTTTTGCTCAGGCCCAGGTATAGCAGGCTCTCTCTGTACATTAACCTAATCTACTCAAGTAGCTGCAGCTGCCCTGGGACAAGCTGACAGCCAGTCTCTGCCATTGCCCCCTCCCACCCCCACTTTCCTGGGTCTCTTCTTCCTCACCTTTTGAGGGCTGAACAACCGCACCTTTAACGTCAACACTCTGCTCTTTTCCTTTCTATAGTTGTCCTTTAGAAAAATATGTTTGAAAATGGATGAGACACTTACAGTTCATTAAAATGTGATTCCCTCTGGTCTCTCTGGTCTATCTCTGGTCTCTTTCTGGTCTCTCTCTCTGGTCTCTCTCTTTGGTCACTCTCTCTGGTCACTCTAGTCTCTCTCTCTCTCTGGTCTCTCTTTGGTTTGACTGTGGCGATAACATCATGTTTTATTTAAGACAAAATGGACGTCCTGTTGAATATTCGCTCCACACACGTGGCTGACAGGTCTGTCTGCTCTCTGTCCTCCACCGTGACGAGGTCCTCTCGTTACGAGGCGTTTATGTCTCATTAGCATGTATCTCATTAGCATATGTCTCATTAGCATAAGATGATCAGTACCAGTACTGAACACAAGGGGCAGTGTACAGGACACTCTGAAGGTTACACACTGTCCATTCTCCTGTGTTCATCTGAGCCAAGAGAGAGGAGAGAGAAGAGGAGAGAGAGGAGAGCGGAGAGAGAAGAGGTGAGAGAGGAGAGCGGAGAGAGAAGAGGAGAGTAGAGAGAGAAGAGGAGAGTAGAGAGAGAAGAGGAGAGTAGAGAGAGAAGAGGAGAGTGGAGAGAGAAGAGGAGAGAGAAGAGAGAAGAGGAGAGAGAGAGGAGACTGGACAGAGAAGAGGAGAGAGAAGAGAAGAGAGAGGATAGAGAAGAGGAGAGAGTGGAGAGAGAAGAGGAGAGAGCAGAGAAAGGAGAGGAGAGAGAGGAGAGAGCAGAGAAAGGAGAGAAGAGAGACTCTGGACTGTGTCACAGGTGTGGGAGGAATAAGCTCCAGTGTCAGTCTGCACACACACACACACACGTAGACACACACCTCTCTAGAGATTTCCCTGTTATTTTTAGACTTGTTCTACACATCATTTGCAGCATAAATACGGCGCTTAATTTCCACCAATGATCGTTACACTGACACTTTCAAACACAAACACATACATACACACACGCACACACACACACTCTAACACACGCACACACACACACACACACAGGTGTAATTTGAGATGAATTTTTACCTTGGGCAAGTGAAAAGTTATTGTTGTAAAAATGTACATCACACAGTTTTACCACCTCCTGCCTCCCCTCCCCCTTGTCCACCCCTCCTCCCCTCCTCCCCCTTTGCAGGTATCTGTTGTTTAAGTCCCCGTTGGTGTATGACCCAGTTTAAGTCTCTGACCTGGTTCTGCTCTGGGGTCTATAAATTGGTTCAATGAAACTGCCTGTGTGCCCACCCCTTCTATCTGACCAATCTGTTTACTAACTCATTACACAATAATAATAATAATCCTGCGTGAGATCAGCTTTAGACCTACTTTAGACCTGTGTGAGAGCCGTTCATAGCCGCTTGCAGCTCCAACTCCTCTCTGTGCAGGTGGGGTCCCCTTCATTCTTACCGGAGAGCTGTTTGAACAGTCGCTGCGTCCCGCCGCCTTCATGATTGCTGGCATCGTCAACTGGCTCGCCAACTTTGCCGTGGGACTGCTGTTTCCCTTCATCCAGGTGAGACCAGAGACTAGGTTGAGACCAGAGACCAGAGACTAGGTTGAGACCAGAGACTAGGTTGAGACCAGAGACTAGGTTGAGACCAGAGACTAGGTTGAGACCAGAGACTAGGTTGAGACCAGAGACTAGGTTGAGACCAGAGACTAGGTTGAGACCAGAGACTAGGTTGAGACCAGAGACTAGGTTGAGACCAGAGACTAGGTTGAGACCAGAGACTAGGTTGAGACCAGAGACTAGGTTGAGACCAGAGACTAGGTTGAGACCAGAGACTAGGTTGAGACCAGAGACTGGGTTGAGACCAGAGACTGGGTTGAGACCAGAGACTGGGTTGAGACCAGAGACTGGGTCGAGACCAGAGACTGGGTCGAGACCAGAGACCGGGTCGAGACCAGAGACCGGGTCGAGACCAGAGACCGGGTCGAGACCAGAGACCGGGTCGAGACCAGAGACCGGGTCGAGACCAGAGACCGGGTCGAGACCAGAGACCGGGTCGAGACCAGAGACCGGGTCGAGACCAGAGACCGGGTCGAGACCAGAGACCGGGTCGAGACCAGAGACCGGGTCCAGACCAGAGACCAGGTCCAGACCAGAGACCAGGTCCAGACCAGGTCCAGACCAGGTCCAGACCAGGTCCAGACCAGAGACCAGAGACTAGGTCGAGACCAGAGACTAGGTCGAGACCAGAGACTAGGTCGAGACCAGAGACTAGGTCGAGACCAGAGACTAGGTCGAGACCAGAGACTAGGTCGAGACCAGAGACTAGGTCGAGACCAGAGACTAGGTCGAGACCAGAGACTAGGTCGAGACCAGAGACTAGGTCGAGACCAGAGACTGGGTCGAGACCAGAGACTGGGTCGAGACCAGAGACCGGGTCGAGACCAGAGACCAGGTCGAGACCAGAGACCAGGTCCAGACCAGAGACCAGGTCCAGACCAGGTCCAGACCAGGTCCAGACCAGAGACCAGAGACTAGGTCGAGACCAGAGACTAGGTCGAGACCAGAGACTAGGTCGAGACCAGAGACTAGGTCGAGACCAGAGACTAGGTCGAGACCAGAGACTAGGTCGAGACCAGAGACTAGGTCGAGACCAGAGACTAGGTCGAGACCAGAGACCAGGTCGAGACCAGAGACCAGGTCCAGACCAGAGACCAGGTCCAGACCAGGTCCAGACCAGAGACCAGGTCCAGACCAGAGTTCTCCTGCAGAGAGAGTCTCCGTACAGATCTCATGTCCTTGAGCTTAACGCGTGTCCTTCACTTCAAAGGAAACGGAGATGAACAAAGACTTTCCTCTTCTGACGGACTCTCACAGAAAGACGAGAAAAGACGAGAATCAAATCCAACTCAATCTATTTGTTTATTGCCCTAAATCACTGCAGCAGTTTTTGTGGATTCACCAACAACATAACAGTGAATCCAACCGTTCAAAAACAGGAAATAGACTGTCTCTCTGTGGTATATTTCTGGTCTCTCCGGTCTCTATCTGATCTCTCTCAGGTCTCTCTCTGGTCTCTGCGGTCTCGCTCCCTGGACTCTGGTCTCTCTCTCTAGTCTCTCCCTGGTCTCTCTCTCTAGTCTCTCTCTGGTTTCTCTCTCTAGTCTCTCCCTGGTCTCTCTCTGGTTTCTCTCTGCTCTCTCTCTGGTCTCTCTCTCTAGTCTCTCCCTGGTCTCTCTCTCTCTGGTCTCTCTCTGGTCTCTCTCTCTGGTCTCTCTCTAATCTCTCCCTGGTCTCTCTTTGGTCTCTTTCTGGTCTCTCTCTGGTCTCTCTTTGATCTCTCTCTCTGGTCTCTCTCTGGTCTCTCTAGTCTCTCCCTGGTCTCTCTTTGGTCTCTATCTGGTCTCTCTCTCTGGTCTCTCTCTGGTCTCTCTCTCTCTAGCCTCTCTCCCTGGTCTCTCTCTGGTCTCTCTCTGGTCTCTCTCTGGTCTCTCTCTGGTCTCTCTCTCTAGTCTCTCCCTGGTCTCTCTCTGGTCTCTCTTTGATCTCTCTCTCTGGTCTCTCTCTGGTCTCTCTAGTCTCTCCCTGGTCTCTCTTTGGTCTCTATCTGGTCTCTCTCTCTAGTCTCTCTCTGGTCTCTCTCTCTAGCCTCTCTCTGGTCTCTCTCTCTAGTCTCTCCCTGGTCTCTCTCTGGTCTCTCTCTGATCTCTCTCTCTGGTCTCTCTCTCTAGTCTCTCTCTCTAGTCTCTCCCTGGTCTCTCTCTGGTCTCTCTCTGATCTCTCTCTCTGGTCTCTCTCTCTCTAGTCTCTCTCTGATCTCTCTCTCTGGTCTCTCTCTCTCTAGTCTCTCTCTGGTCTCTCTCTGGTCTCTCTCTCTGGTCTCTCTCTAGTCTCTCTCTGGTCTCTCTCTCTGGTCTCTCTCTAGTCTCCCTCTTGTCTCACTCCCTGTGTTCTGTAGGAGGCGCTGCAGTCCCTGGCCTTCCTGGTCTTTGTGGTGGTGTGCGTTTTGGGAGCGGTGTTTCTCTCCTGTGTCCTCCCCGAAACCAAGAACCAGACATTCTTGGACATCAGCCGCAGTTTCGCCAAAATTAACGGTCTCCCGGCACCGGCGCAGGAGCTGGAGCTGGAGCTGGTGCTGACAGTCGGCCCGGGCGCCAGGGAATCAGTGACGCCCGGGAAGGACCCATTGACTGACCCACAAGACCCACAGGACCCACAGGACCAAAACGGAATCAAGATGGAGAGTGCGCTATGAGGCTCAACTCGCTCAACTCACACATACACACACACAAACAAAACACACTACCTCTGGGACCGGCCCTTCATCCAGTTCTTTTTGATTTTCGACCATTGAGAGACCATTGAGAGACCAGAGAGAGACCAGAGAGAGACCAGAGAGAGACCAGAGAGAGACCAGAGAGAGACCAGAGAGAGACCAGAGAGAGACCAGAGAGAGACCAGAGAGAGACCAGAGAGAGACCAGAGAGAGACCAGAGAGAGACCAGAGAGAGACTAAAGAGAGACCAGAGAGAGACTAAAGAGAGAGAGACTAAAGAGAGAGAGACTAAAGAGAGAGACCAGAGAAAGAGAGACTAAAGAGAGACCAGAGAAAGAGAGACTAAAGAGAGACCAGAGAGAGAGACTAAAGAGAGACCAGAGAGAGGGACCAGAGAGAGACTTCTTTAGCTGTAAACATGGACATTTATCACAGCGTTGACAGATGGCGCTGGTGCCGTGTTGTCGTTCTTTTTGACTCTGACTGAACCGAGTCTGAACCAGAACCACTCACAAACTCTCTACAAACATTGGCACACTTAAAGACTAAAAGGTTTTCCCATTCCTTTTTACAAAACAACCCACTGGGACTGGTCCACTGGTCCAGACTCCAGGGTCACACTGGGATCAGCTTCAGACTGGTTTATGCTTCAGCACTTTCGATGAAACTGTACAATTCAAATATGTATAAAAATGTGTAGATTATGTTAAAATGTATATGAAGTAATTTTTATCTTTTGTTAAAAAGCCATTAAAACATTTTATATTGTGTGTTCCTCTCTATCCTTGTAGAGCGATGGATAAACCTGTTATAAAGTTTAAATAATAACCCTGTCATTTCATTTTTAACGCTGGGGTACGTAACTTTAGCCTTATCAATAACACATGTTTAAAGCTGGGGTACCTAACTTTAGTCTCATCAGTAACACCTGTTTAAAGCTGGGGTACCTAACTTTAGTCTCATCAGTAGCACATGTTTAAAGCTGGGGTACCTAACTTTAGTCTCATCAGTAGCACATGTTTAAAGCTGGGGTACCTAACTTTAGTCTCATCAGTAGCACATGTTTAAAGCTGGGGTATGTGACTTTAGTCCTCAACACATCTGCTTATTTTGTGTGAGAAACAACCCTGTGAGGGCTGAGTGAGGCTGGTCCTCTCTTTTTCACTTTTCTGTCCGTGAAAGCTGATTATATTTTTTTTCTATTGTTCTATTGTTGTCTGAAAGTTATAGACCCTAGCTTTAAAGGTACGTAGCCTTGGCTAAAGCGTGTTCCGGTCTGTATTTGTGCGGACGGACTGGTCAGGACTGTGGTCAGTGAATCCTCCGCTGCAGCTGCTCCAAAACTGAAGCCAAAAATAAAAATCAAATGAAAATAAAGGTTGAAGTTGAGCGGATTATGGAGATTAAGAGATTAAAATAATAATAGTTCTAAAAAAGCAGCGGCTCAAAACCAGAGCGGCATCCACTCCCTAATTTACATATATTCATGTAGGAGAGACCAGAGAGCGAGATCAGAGCGGGAAACCAGAGAGGGAAACCAGGGAGAGACCAGAGAGAGAAACGAAAGAGGCCAGAGAGGGAGAAGAGAGAGAGACAAGAGAAAGAGACACCAGTCTTTCTGATTTCTGGGTCCGTGTTGATGTGACAATCAGTGCTTTTAGGCAGCATCTGGAGCAGAGAGAAGTTTGACCCCGATCCTGACTGAGGAGTGTGCGTGTGTGCGTGTGTGCGTGTGCGTGTGTGTGTGCAAAACACATGTTTTAATCTGAGGTAAAAAATAACTTGAGGCTCAGACACAACGGACCCAGAGAAGACACATGTGGAGTTATCTATAGACCAGATTGGACCAGGTCTGGACCAGGTCTGGAACAGTTTACTTTTTGCCAAGAAGAAAACGTTAGGGGAGCGTAAGAGTGGTCAGAGTGGTCGTGGTTGTTGATCGTGACATTTTGGTCCACTCTTCTTCTGGAAGCCACTGGATATTAGTAGGAACTGCTACTGCTACTACAACTAGTGCTTTTACTTCTACTGCCAACCCCAACATTGCACACTGTTTGTTCACTCTCCTCATGGTTCGCAGTACAGTATATATTTTACTGTGATGTAGCAGAACTCTCCGATCAATCTGACCCTCTAGCTCTCTCTCTGCTCTCTCCTCTTTCTCTCTCTCTTGTCTCTGCTCTTTCTCTCCGCTCTCTTCTTCCTCTCTCTCTGCGCTCTCTTGCTCCACTGTCTCTCTGCGCTCTCTCCACTATGGAAGCCCGTTTCCGCCATGTAAAAAAAAAAAAAAGCCTACAGAAAGTCAAAATTTTGACTTTAAAAGTCAAAATTTCGACTTTTAAAAGTCAAAATTTCGACTTTAAAAGTCAAAATTTCGACTTTAAAAGTCAAAATTTTGACTTTAAAAGTCAAAATTACGAGTTTTCAACTGCGCATGTGCAGTTGAAAACTCGTATGTGTTGCTGTCTGGAACGGTCTCTGGTCATCCCTGTTATAGATCCATGACCATGGGTCATCCTCTACCTGCAGATTATGTGAAGATTTTGCCTACAGACAGTGACCACATCCATGAAGTAGCAGCAATAATGTTGTGGTAGTAATCGCGTTAAAATGCAAACGGTCTCTCCGTTTATGATTAGAATCCGCTTCAGAAGCCTCTATTTAATTTATCCTAAACTGAAAAGGAGAGTGACTGTACTGATGCTGAATGGAATGTCCAGAACACTGTGGTGGGTCGGTTAGAACCCAATGATGAGTCAGGGAGTTGAATATGATGATTTATTGAAGCTTGAGCGTATGGATGTGTGTGTGTGTGTGTGTGTGTGTGGTCTTTTATAACGCACACCTTTGACTTAAACACACAAACTACTGCAAACTTTAACTTAAACCTATGAAAACACTCAGACACGGCAAAGTAAGATGTGCTCGCTTCACTCCTCTCTCTCGCTCTGTGCATGCAGGGCGCACGCAGGTCTCCGGTGGTCCAAGCTCCGCCCCCTTTAAAGGGCCAGCGTGACAGTCTCTAAGGCAGCCTTTTTAACAGCCGCCCCCGGATTCACCTGTGAATACGAACATCTAAAAGGCTGAAGTGTCAATCGTCCTTTGGTAGAGCAGGGAGACTGACGAGCCTCGCCACTGGCCGGACGTAGGTTCTTCCTTTAACTGTGACTTCTGCCGATCTGATCCTGTCGTCGGGTCCAGGGAAGACTTGTGATACTGTACCTACAGGCCAGAGGGCCCGGGGTAATTGCGGGTCAACAATCATGGCCACTTCCCCCACTTGCAGATTCACTGATTCAGTCCGCCACTTCTGGCGAGCTTGGAGCCCTGGCAAGTAGTGCCTTAGGAAATGCTGCCAGAAATGGTCGGCTAGGATCTGGCTATGCCTCCATCTTCTTCGCCCGAGGGTCTCTGGCCCTGTGGCAGTGAGGCATCCCGCCGCCCCATGAGAAGGCAGTTGGGGGTGACAGGGTCTGGATCTGCCACTTCGGATGAGGTGTAGCCGAGGGGCTTGGAATTGAGCATCCCCTCAACTTCAATCAAAACGGTGCGTAGTACTTCCTCTGTGACTGATTGAGCTCCCAGGGTGACGCGAAGAGCGGCCTTGAGGGAACGGATCTCACGCTCCCAGCATCCGCCGAAATGCGGTGCTCCAGGGGGGTTGAAGGCAAAGGTGATCTGCTGAGAGGCCAACTGATCTTGGAGGTCAGGATGAAGAGACTGGAACGCCTCTCGCAACTCACGGTCTCCTCCGCGAAAGTTAGTTCCCTGGTCACAGAGAATCTTTTTGGGCTTTCCTCGTCTGGCGATGAATCGTCTCAGGGCCATAAGGAATGCGTCAGTGTCTATACTGGGAATCAAATCGAGATGCACTGCTCTTGTAGTCAAACATTTAAACAGTATCCCCCACCTCTTCTCATTCCGGCGCCCGATCTTGACGGTGTATGGCCCGAAGCAATCTACGCCCGTGGAGTAGAAAACAGGCTTGAAAAGGCGAAGTCTGGCTGGAGGGAGATCAGCCATCCGTGGGGGATGTGGTCGACCTTTCCACTTCTTGCACTCCGCGCAGCCTCTCTGGTGGCGACGCACTGCTTCACGTCCACGTAACACCCAGTACCTCCTTCTGATCTCAGCAAACACCCTCTCTGGCCCTGGGTGCTGGAGCTTTTCGTCATAATCTTGTATGATGAGACGGGTTAGTGGGTGTCGGGGGTCCAGGACGATGGGGTGCACCTCATCTACTGCCAGGTCTGGATTGCGGCGTAGGCGGCCTCCTACTCTGATGAGCCCGGTCGCCTCATCAAACTTTGGAGCGAGCAGAAGAATGCGGCTGGACCTGGATACTGGTTTACCGGCTTCCAACTGCGAAACCTCCTCTGGAAACGACTCTCTCTGGGCTTGGCGTAGAATCTCGAGCTCAGCCGTGGTATAGGAATCAGCTGTCGGAGTGTCACTGGAACCGGCCGCCCCGTGCAGCTGACGCGCAGTGGCCTCCAGGTAGCTGCCCAGCGTCTGGTACTGGAGCGGATCTGGAACAGTAGAAGCTGACATGGTTAAAACAGTGTGTTTCAGCTCACCTTCAGGTTCACTCTGGACTGCGGGCAGGGGTTCAGGCCAGTCACTTGAAGCTTGCTTCAGAAATGGAGGACCTCCTGTCCATCTGTTGCCTCTGCCAATGTCTCTGAGAGTGAGGCCACGGGTGATGTCATCTGCTGGGTTGTCTTTCAAAGGCACATATCTCCAAGTGGCGGCTTCGGTCAGCTCTTGTATTTCGGCCACACGGGTGCCCACGAAGACTTTGTAGCGGCATGAATCTGAGCTCATCCAGGTTAGGACAGTGGCTGAGTCAGACCATAGAGTGCAGCTGCGGATGGAGAGGGTTAACTCTGTGCTGATGACTTTGCAGAGTTGAGCACCAGTAAGGGCAGCGCACAGCTCCAGGCGGGGTATGGACTGCTGCTTCTTGGGGGCAACACGTGAGCGCGCTGCCAGGAAAGCAATCTCCACTTCTCCATTGGTGTTCTGGGTCCTCAAGTATGCCACAGCTCCATATGCTTGTTCTGAGGCGTCGCAAAATACATGAATGTCTCTGATACTTGTGGGCTGGTCCATGCAGCGGGTGGTGTAACACCTGGGCAGGGTGATCTTGGGTAGGTGTGCTAGCTCTTCTTCCCACGCATGCCATTTCTCCAGGAGCTCTTTGGGAAGCTGCGGATCATCCCAATCCCTCTTCTTCTCCCACAGGTGCCGAACAATGACTCTGGCCCGAGTGGTGAAGGGCACTATGTAGCCAAGAGGATCATACTGGCTGGCTAACACTCTGTATATGTTCCTCATGGTAGCCACTGGGCAGTCAATGTCTCTGTGTTTGTAGGTGAGCGTGTCAGACTCACAGTTCCAATGCAGGCCTAGTGCGGGCTCTGGGACATCAAGCTGACCTTGACTGAGCCACAGATCACAACTGGATGATCTTAGGTCTGGCGGGAGGTGACGAACAATGCTTGGATCATTACTAGCCCACTGTCTGAGCTCGAATCCGCCGCTGGTTAGGAGATGGCGTAGCTTGTTTACAAGAGCCTTGGCAGCGTTTGGTGAGGCGAGACTCTGCATGCAATTGTCCACATAAAAGGACTTGTTGATAGCAACATGAACATCGTCGTGTGGCTGGCTGTGATCAAAGACGTGTTTCTGCAGAGCAAATGTTGCACAGCACGGACTGCACGTAGTTCCAAACGGCAGTACCTGCCACTCATAAACCTCAGGCGGACTGTCTCGCTTCATGTCCCTCCATATAAAGCGCAGCAGTGGTCGGTCTTCAGGGAGGAGCCTAACCTGGTGGAACATACCACGGATATCACTGCTGAAGGCAATGGCGTGCTCTCTGAAGCGTAGCAGTACAGCTAACAAAGCTGGGCCAAGAGTGGGACCTGGTAATAGGAGCTGGTTTAGGTTGTGACCTTGGTGCTGGAATGAGCAGTTATACACCACACGATTCTTCCCATTATGTTGGACCATATGGTGGGGTATATACCAAGTTTCTGGGCTGCTCTCCACTTGACTGGGTGTTAGCTTCACCACATACCCGGCCTCTACCAGCTTCTCAATCTCTCTCTGATAGGCAACAGCTTGTTCTGGGGCTCGAGCTAAGCGCTTCTCTGTACCTCTCAGGAGTGGCAGAACAGCTTCTGGAGTGGTTTTGAGGGAGGGCATGTCTTTTACTCGGAGGAGGGGTGTGGCATATCGCTCTGTGCCATTAATGTTGACTCTCACTGTCTGCTCTTGTAGGAGTTTGACTGCCTCTTGGTCTTGTCTTGATCTCACGACCAGCTTCTCACTGCGGTACGGAAGGACGTCCATCTGCCACAGCTTCTCCACACATGCAAACAGCTCAGAAGGTGAGGGGACAGATGTAAAGAGGCAGTTACTCACGTTAGGCCCGGACTGGACATCCCGAGCTGGCCCCTGCAGTGTCCATCCAAGGAGAGTCTTCACTGCAGCTGGACCACCACGGGGTCCCCATCGAACAGGCTCTATCGGTGTGATAAGGTGCGTGTAGTCTGCACCAATCAGCAGCATGGGATGGGCTCTGTTCAGCGTGGGGAGGGGCAAACCTGATAGATGTTTGTACTTTTGCTGGAGCACAGCGACTGGATGGGAGTGCTCTGCTAAACTCAGCGGCTCTGCTGGAAATGCGTTGTGGATTTCGTACACCTTCTCTGGGTTGCCAGCTGGAGAAATAGAGAAGGACACTGATGCTCCGTGAAGCCTCTCCACCTCTTGTTTGACGGTGCGGAGGGCTAACACTTCTTTACTGCCTTTGAGGCCCAACTGTTTCGCTGCCGAATGGAGGAGAATGGTTCGCTCAGAGCCGTCGTCCAATACAGCGTATGTTTCCAAGCACTGGTCTCCATTTCTCAGAACCACCTTACTTATCTTCAGCAGCACTTTACAGTTGTATACTGGGCGATCAACGTACATAACTTTATTGGTGGTGTTTACAAGACAGCTCTCTGTGGGGGGTGTAGCGGGTACCCGTTCCTCCTCTGACCTCTCATTGACCTCATGCAGCACTAACAGGTGTCTCCGATTGCATGTTTTACATGGGGCTTTGAGTGTGCACTTTGCAGCCTGGTGATTACGACCACAGCGCCAGCACTTATTGTTAACTTTGATCCATGCCACCTTCTGCTCTTTGCTCAGGCCTTTAAAGTTGGCACAATTATTCAAAAAGTGCTTGTCATGGTCGCAGTAGGGACAATAAGCTCTCATCTTATCTGCACTCTTTGGTTGGTTGGCTGTGTGGTCTGGTGCAGGGGTTAAGGCTGACTGTGGTGCTGGGGCTTTCTCTGTGCTCAGAAGGACTGATGCAGACTTAGTGGAGGATTTATGAGGGCGCTTGGTCTCTGCTTTCTTATTGGACCAATCCTCTCTCTTCGTGGGCTTAATGCAGTCTTCCTGTACCTCCAACTCATATTCGAGCCAATCCGCGAAATCAACTAGGGTGGGAATGGCAACTCTGAGTGGGTGAATGAACCTCTTGAAGTTAGCATTAAGGTCATGCGGGAGTTTACTCAGTAAGCGTGACACATGTGAGCCACATATTAGCTCTATCTGGCCTCTCTGCCCCAGCTGCTGTAACATGCCAACTAAAGACCGCACAGTGAGCGCAAAGAGACGGAAGCTACTCACATCCCCACTGCGGATATTGGGAGCATCCATGAGCTCTGCGATGCGCTGCACAGCCAGTTTGTGGGGCTGTCCATACATTTTGGTTAGAGCCTGCATGGTGTCTGTGTATGGCTGCATAGAGTTACAGTACGAATCGGCCACAAGTGAGGCTTCCTCACACTTAAGGTGGTCTGTGAGGATCTGGTATTTGTACCGCTCTGTGGCGTCTTCCGGTAGGAGGTTCTCTAGTGCCACTTTCATCCTGGAGAACTCTCTGGGGTTTGGTGCAGTGAGGCATGGGATTGTGGGCTTTGGTCCCCTATATGTGCGCTCCCTCTGTGGGTTATGCGCATAGGCATTCTGAGTGTATGAGGGGTAACTGCCTGTATATGGAGTGCCGTTCTGTGCATCACTTACTTGGTTGTAAGAGTGAGCTTGAGATCTCTGCCCATACAGGTCTGCACGGGGAACACTTTGCTGGGGAGTGGCTGCATAGTACGGGGGGTTAGGCAGAGCTCCAGGCACTTGGGAGACGTCCAATCTGGAGAAAACTTGTGCTATGTTATCCCGGGGGCTGGAATAATATAGTGGTTGGCAGGCTGGAGCATTAACTTGGGGTTGGAGCTGAGAGCGTTGTACATAGTTACCACAATCTGCACTGCGAGGTAACTGGGAAAGAGGCTGGTGGACTGCGGACTGGGACTGGGACTGGGCTTGGAATGCAGTCATCAGGCTCTGGAACTGGGTACGGAGCTCAGCATTGTCCCGACGCATCTCTATGAGGGCAGCACTTAACTCTGGGATGCAGGTGGTCTCCTGTCCTCCTGTGGCACGAGCTGGAGAACTGGAGAGCTCTGGCTCCTGTACTTCATCAATACCTTCAAAGTTCTGACTGATAGGAGATATGGATCTTGGCGGCGAATGCTCTCTCTGTGGAAGGCCCGTGGCTCTGGATGCTGACTTGAACTGGCTCTGGGCCCCTGGTCCACTGAGATCATACTCTGCCAGGTGAGCGGGCACTGAAGTCTGTCTTACAGGTCGGAGGTTACTTGCTTCTGACTCAGGGTTTTGCATCTTCACAGCTGTCTGGAATCCGGCTCGAAGGACCAATTGAAAAGGAGAGTGACTGTACTGATGCTGAATGGAATGTCCAGAACACTGTGGTGGGTCGGTTAGAACCCAATGATGAGTCAGGGAGTTGAATATGATGATTTATTGAAGCTTGAGCGTATGGATGTGTGTGTGTGTGTGTGTGTGTGTGTGTGTGGTCTTTTATAACGCACACCTTTGACTTAAACACACAAACTACTGCAAACTTTAACTTAAACCTATGAAAACACTCAGACACGGCAAAGTAAGATGTGCTCGCTTCACTCCTCTCTCTCGCTCTGTGCATGCAGGGCGCACGCAGGTCTCCGGTGGTCCAAGCTCCGCCCCCTTTAAAGGGCCAGCGTGACAGTCTCTAAGGCAGCCTTTTTAACATAAACGGACTGTGGAAGATTAATAATAAAACACATGTGGCTGTTCAAAGTCATTGAGCATCAACTGGTGACATCTGGTCAGTATCACGGCTATCGATGGATGCACCAGAAATGCAGTGAATAATATTGTGACTGACAGAGAGACCGTTCGCGATTACAGGACAGTGAGGTAGGTCCGCAGACAGAGGCAGGAGAACCACAGACAGAGGCAGGAGAACCACAGACAGAGGCAGGAGAACCACAGACAGAGGCAGGAGAACCACAGACAGAGGCAGGAGAACCACAGACAGAGGCAGGAGAACCACAGACAGAGGCAGGACAACCACAGACAGAGGCAGGAGAACCACAGTCACGGGCACTGACAATAATACCCTTTTGGAATTGCGATCAGTGCATTGAAGAGTATGTGACGTGTTTGCGTGCATGCGGGGGTGAGCTGATGGAGCGAGCGGGTAAAGTTGTTGGCGTATGAGCAAGAACACAGAGACATACAGGGAATAAGTACCTTGTCTGATTATTTTATTGTGACAAAATAAAGCCCACGACTCTTTTAGCAACAATCCGGAGAAATAACTCCGCAGATAACAGTGAGGGTCTTTGAAAAGGGTTAGAAATAGATAAACCCATTATAGATGCATGAATAAAACCCCGTACTCAACACGTAGAAAGCGCATCCTTTCAGCCGTGGAAATACTCGCTCCGTGTGGACCCCTCTCAGCGCCATCGTCTGGTCAGAGTGGTCTATAGCAGATTGGATTGGAATGTCTCGATGGCTCATTTTCCTTTGATTTATTATAAAAACGTATTGCTCACATTATTTGTTACTATGTCGAAATAAGAAGTCGTTTCATTTAAATGCTGTATATATGTAAATTGAATTTAACATAAATAAATAAAAAGACAGCTCCTCCCTGCCTCCTACGACCGCGGTCTGGGGCTTAAACAGGAACGTTTTACAGAATCAATCAAACAACATTATTTCTGGCTACTTCATGGATGCAGTGGTCGCTGTCAGCAATATCTTCACATAATCTGCAGGTGAAGGACGTCCAGAGACCGTTCCAGACAACAACACACACGAGTTTTCAACTGCACATGCGCAGTGGAAAACTCACAATTTTGACTTTTAAAGTCGAAATTTTGACTTTTAAAGTCGAAATTTTGACTTTTAAAGTCGTAATTTTGACTTTTAAAGTCGAAATTTTGACTTTTAAAAGTCGAAATTTTGACTTTTAAAGTCGAAATTTTGACTTTTAAAAGTCGAAATTTTGACTTTCTGTAGGCTTTTTTTTTTTTTTACATGGCGGAAACGGGCTTCCATACTCCACTCTCTCGCTCTCTTCTCTCTTTCCATCTCTCGGTGTCAGATGGAAAACTTGTGCTGGAAATCCTGCGCCGCTGTCGAACATGAGTGGACCTGTCCCCAGAGATGACCCTCCGCAGAGCTGCTGCGTAAGAGCCTTGTCTCCATGGAAACAGCATCACACCCAACTGCAAGTGACGTACCATCACTGAGAGACTCAGACCAGAGAGAGAAGCCAGGAAAGAGATCAGAGGGAGAGACTAGAGATAGAGACCAGAGAGGGACCATAAGCAGATCACTCTCAGAGCAGTTTCCTGCCCATAAAACAATACTTTTTTTAAATTATTATTATTTCTCAGGTGAAATACGTTTTGTATAAGCATGTGGCAGCATAGGTGGCACCTCTAGTGGCAGCATAGGGAGCTACAGACAGCTCTGACTGCAGACGCTGCTCCCTCTGGTGGTCACACAGGGAGTTACATACAGAATGCATGTTTTAACATTCAGACTCTGATCTCTTTATTAAAAACACAACAGGATCCACAAAAGCAGCTGTTTTATTCACAAAATTACATTCAGACTGAACGGAAGTCTTTGGTCTTTGTTCACAGGTTCTCCTCGCGGCTCACAAACTGGACCGCTCGTCACTTTAACACTGTGCTCTGAACCATAGTAAAAAGACATACAAGACCAGAAAGAGAGACCAGAGAGAGAGATCAGAAAGAGACCTGAGACAGAGACGTGCACAGATACTGCAGGGAAAAAGGCTCTGAGGCATAATGTGAGTTTGCGGCTTCAAGTAAAAACACGAGACAAAACAGGAGCGACACGGAACATCAGCTTTCTCATTTCTCTGGGTCATATGTGCGAGTCACATGTGCGGGTCATATGTCTGTTTCGCACACCAGGTCTTCCGGGTCGTGCGCAGTTTGTGTGAGCTGTGAAATGCGGTCGAAGTCGTCATTGAGACAGTCAACCACGTTGGGGATGATGCTGGCGTACGCGCTGACGATTTCTCTGTGGATTTGTGCGCTCTGGTCGTACGACACCAGGTCTCTGTGGATTCGTGCGCTCTGGTCGTATGACACCAGGTCTCTGTGGATCAGTGTGTCCTGATTGTACGACACCAACTCGTTACTGATGTTGACCGTCTGCACCGGCGTGCGGCACAGCACACGGCAACCCAACAGACTGGCAAACGCCTTCCGGAACTCTGCATTGAAGGCGTAGATGACGGGGTTCAGGGAGGAGTTGGTCCATCCGAACCACACAAACACGTTGAAGGTGGTGTCGCTGACACAAGCAGCACTGCGGTGTGCCCCAGGCTTCTCACAGAACGGAACCAAACAGTTCAAGACAAAGAAGGGCAGCCAGCAGCACACAAACACCCCCATGATGACTGACAGCGTCTTCAGCACTTTGGTCTCGCGCTTCAGCGAGCTCTTGAGCGAGCTGTGCTGCACACACTCCAGTCTCTTCATACGACAGCTCTGCGCGTGCTCTGCGGCACGCTCCAGCGTGGCAATCCTACGGATCTGCATCTGTGCGATGCGGTAGATGCGAGTGTATGTGACGATCATGATGGCGACCGGGATGTAGAAGCTCACAAGCGACGAGGATATGGCGTATGTGCGGCTCAGGCTGGAGTCACAGTTCTCGTCTACGTGCTGCTCCGCGCCCGCGGCCTTATGCCACTGCAGCTGCACCGGGATGAAGGAGATCAGCACAGACAGCGTCCACGAGACACCGATCATCACGAATGCCGCACGCTGCGTCATCTTCCGCTCATAGCGGAACGGCGCAGAGATGGCCCAGTAGCGATCCATGCTGATCATGCACAGGTTCAAGATGGACGCAGTGGAACACATGATATCAAATGCTACCCACACGTCACAGAAGGCGCCAAACGGCCAATGTCCCGTCACCTCAGCAACCGCCTTCCACGGCATCACCAGCAGCGCCACCAGCAGGTCGGACAGCGCCAGCGACACAATGAAGATGTTGGTGACTTTGGAGCGTAGATGTCTAAAACGCAGCACGGCGCTGCACACCAGCACGTTCCCACACAGAGTCCAGAGGATCAGCAGCGACAGGAAGGCACCCGTCACACACCGACCCACCACCTCCGTCCTGTGCGCATGCGTCACGTTCCACGTCACTTCCCTCGGCGGCGGCGCAGCAGACACAACATCCTTTTCTGCAGAAAGATACCGAGCAGGCTCCATGTCCTCAGAGTAACTCGCAGAGCTCCCCACGTGGAGCAGGCCACCTTCCCCCCGGGGACACTGTGCGTGAGCAGCGTAAGGACCCTGAAGAGCGCGGAGAGCGTGAGGAGTGTGAGGAGCACATGGTGCCGCCTCTGTCGCTTTCCAACGTCAGACTGAGCGGCTGAGTGCGACAGCAGCAGAGAAGAGGAGAGGAAGGGAGGGGGAGAGAGAGGAGAGGGAGGAAGGAAGGAGAGAGAGAGGGGGCTGGATTCCATCACTGCAGAATGTTGTGTGTGTGTGTGTGTGTGTGTAAGCGTGCGCGCGTGTGGGTGTGCATGCGTGCATGTGAGTGTTGTTTAACAAAAGAAGATAGTGGGGGAGGATTCCATCACTGCGGTAAGGTTGTGTGTATGTGCGTGTGTGTGTATGTACGTGCGTGTGAGGGCGGGAGCTACGTGCTCGTGCGTGGCACACTTCATTCATAAAGATCCCGGCGCTGTCCGCGGTGCTGAAGCACTCATGCGCACTCATTTAGGTGAATCACGCACCGCGGGTCAAGAACGTGCGCGTGCACATGTCAGTTATTAATAGACGCGTCCACGCGCCGGTCACATCGGTGTGACGCCCTGTCAATCACAGTGTGACCTCCGCTCTACAGACGCGGATCAGACGCAAACTTGGCGCGGATACGCCTAAATAATCTCAAACCTTTTATTCTCTGGCACTAACCCACGTCAGCTGTCTGCTCAATTATTGATTTTATTTCTTTGTATATCATGCATTTGTATAAATGTATATTTCCCTAACGACTGTAATTTTTGCCTTTCAGACCAGAGTTACAAAGCGCTTTACAATTTATTTTATTTTCATCTCTCACTCCACACAGAGATGTGAGCGAGGTCACCATATCCTTCAGACGTGTCGCTGTATCTTTGTGCAGCTCTTTGGAAACTGTTTGTGTAAATGTAAATAAAGTGGATTGACTCATAATCCAACAAATGTATATCTTGTTGCAATATGAGCTTTGTGTATTTCTACTCCTCCAAATAATGTTTAGATGCAGCTCTATGACCAGCGCGAGAAGCAGCCCTGGACGGAGCTCTTGCGTCTAATCATTATATCAAAAGTCCTGATCAAACTTGAGTGTGTGTGTGAGCACGCGTGTGCCTGTGCGTGCGTGTATCTGTGTAGACGCTGAGAACACCAAAACACGTGTGTGTGGCGCTCCCTTGTGGCTCTGCTCAGTATTGAACCCAAACGCAACTTCTCGATTCAAAAATACTTTTATTTATTCAAATCAAAGACATAAAACACAATCGTGTTTTCAGCACCAAATTAAACAAACACATTTATATATTCATGCAAGTATATAAAAAATAATAATTCACCGATTAGAAACATGAGAACTTTAAAGAAGAACTTCACTCAGCGGCTTCTGAAATTAGGACCACAAACACAAAGATTGTAACAGACAACTGTGACACATACAGCAAACACACACGGCTAACACATAAAGTTAACGTGGATGAAGGAGACACTAACATGAAGCATGCTCAAATATAAAACATGCACACTGTATCACGATTCACTTTGCTCGACCTCATGCTTGTCATGTGCTGCATGTAAACTCCATAACATAAAAACAAGACAGCAACCTTTGTTTAAAGTCAGAAGACAATTTTTGGTCTCTCTCTCTCTCTGGGCTCCCTCTCTCTGGGCTCCCTCTCTCTGGTCTTCTCTGGGCTCCCTCTCTCTGGTCTTCCTATGGTCTCTCTGGTCTTACTCTGAGGCCTCGTTTAGACGGAGACGCTGCAAAGCAAATGGCAGAAAAAACAGGCTCCTTATTCGAAGTACACAGCGTCTACACCACGACGGAAAACAATGTAGTTCTAGTGCCTGGCCAGTAGGAGCAGTGAGATGTTACAACACGACACGCGCAACCCCACCAGTACAACCACTTCCTCAACAACATCCTCCTCATGCCACCGCAAAACGAGAAAGAATGCACCAACATCATCCTGCATTTAACAGTAGCTGCAAAATTGGAAACTGAAACTAGAGCTTTGCATGGTTTCTTTGGACGAGTATAATTCTCTGTGTAACGCTCAAACCACACTTAAATTACGTTGATCTGCTGCTTTACGTTTGTTCTCTGCTACTACACATGTTTAAATTTACGTGCGGCAGTGCATTAAAGAGCGACTAAACACCAAATCAACTTTTTTTTAACTCATAAACTGTATAAATGTTTCTTATAGTACTCTCTACATATCCTGGTCACTTTTTTGACATTTTAGTGCAAATTAGATAAAATCTCACTTTTGAGCCTAAAAACGTCTGTGTGGCGCCCTCTCAAGCTTTTCGGTGGTACTACATTTGAATTTGGTCCTGGCCTCTTCATTGACTCTGTAATTCTGTGCGACGTCAGTTTGTATGTGTGTCTGTCTGCGCCGGTGATATAACCGGCGGTGATATAAACCCATCCAAGTCTCACAAGCCCCAGTAGCAGGTTGGAGTATTCTGGCGCCATCTAGTGGATTAAAATTAAATGACATGATTTGACCGTCAATGCTGCTGAGATAATTCTTTGGATTAGGTTCAGGTGTGTAGCTCTACAATTATTTTAGTGTGTAAACAAGGGTGGAATGAGACTTTCTGGAGTGTAAACTATTGCTTTAAGCAGCAATGACAACTGTCTTTTTTTTTTCGTGTGACAAGTGAGATGTCAATCACAGCCCAGACCACGCCCAACTCTAAGCCCTCCTTCTTGTCCCTTGGTCCTCCAGGCAACACCCTGTCTTGTGCAGTGTGTACGGGCCGTTACAGAGAACTCGCAAACACCCACCAAGCTCTTGTGCCGTGGTCAAACTCTCTCAAAATAAATAAGGCTTTCAAATCTGATCTTCCTTAAATGCAAGGACCACCCTTGGATCCGTTTATTGCACATATGTGCAGACATGGCTGGCACTGGGGAGACATGCAGCATCCACAACCTTTGAAGCCCCAAATGCACGGTAATATAATTTGCACAGTAATTCTAATTTTTCATTTGGAGTAAATATAATTTGCTGAATTTTTTAGGGGCAAATAAATTAACATCTTCTAGACTAATGTCTATGTTGAAAAAATGTTCACTACCTGTTTGCATGCTTTATTTATTTCAGTAGGTCTTTCTAGCTCAAGCATATTCCTAAACAAACGTATCTAATGGATATATTATTTTCTATAAGGCTGTCTGTTGATAGTTGTAAATAAAACTCTTTCAGGGAAAAAAGAGCATCCCCTTGCATTAAAAACATGAGAACAATCCACAGAGTACCCCCGTCTGTTCCACTCTAGAGGCTGTTTCTCAACGCTTGTATGTTCACCCCCCTGAAACACTGTTTCGTGTAAACGAAAGGCCAACCGTTTTCCTGTTGCAGTGTCTCGTTTAAACACCACCTGAACCACTCATGACTCAGAGAAACAAGCATTGTCAGCGCCATCTGCTGGATATAATGATACCTCCAGTGAGAGCAGCACCACACAATCCTGAACACAGATGACCAAATAGTCCAGAGCCAGGTCCAGACTATGTCCTCTTCACACTGAATTTAACAAGTAATATTAAAGTGAAATGTGCACGCTTTGCAGTGAGAAGTTAAAACCCCTTAGTGGCTCACTTGGCTCTTCTTGAAGTTTACAACAGTTAAAGTACGTAAGTTTAAGAGTACGTAACTTTTAGACAACACTGGATCTCCGTCTCTAATCCCCGTCTCTAAAACTGTTAGATGTTCTATATTAATCCTGGAGGAAATTAAAATTTGAGGTCTGGTCCTGGTCTAGTTTCATATCAAGTTTGGCCTCTGTCACACCTTAGCTTTTTCAGATATAAAAGTGAAACAGAGAGGACCACTCTCACTCAGCCAATCAGCTCTCAGCCCAAAGAGTCAAAAAGTGACTCATAGAGATATAGTGACTCACAAGTTTCACTAGCGTCTAGTAGTCTGATTTGTTAACAACATTTTATGACTTTCTGTTTAAAGGAGCTATACCCGTTTCTGCAAGGTTTGAATTTTTAGCACCACCCCCAACTTGCTCACAGGCTTCTCTTTTCTCCTACGCTCTCATTCCATGGAGCCATCTAGTTTTATTTGCGATCTGATACGTATGCAAACATTGGCATGAGTGCAACTTCTTGTAAGCTGTACAACAATCACTGATGAAATGGTACAAAAGCAACGCACTGCTTACAAAATATATAACTGAAAGATTACCGCTAGTTCCGTGTCCGAATGTAGTCTGAGCATAGATAGTCCGAGAAAGTCCCGCAGGTCTCTCCCATTGTCTCTCCAGAGGATACGATGTAAGCTAGCTATGTTCACCCAGGCTTAATTTCTTCTTTGATCATTTTTTCGCTTTAGTTCTCTCTTCTCTTCCTCATTGTTGTGTCGTTTGGACTGCTTTTCTGTGTCTGCAGTTACAGCAGGAGGAGTTATAGCCAATTCTGCTAACATGCTCCTGTGTTTAGCAGCGCTGTAGAGGCTAGAGGACGCCGCCTCGTTTTGTGAGTGGAGTAGTGCTAGCGTCACGTTAAGTCTCTACTCAGCACTTTTTACGGCCTGAATTCATACACAAACTGAATCAATGAGCTCAAGTTTTCAATTAAATTACGGATTATGATACACCTTGTATGTAGTAATAAGCATTTTTATAAACTCATAAAAATAAATCGGGTATAGCATCTTCAAACTACAAGTTATCTATGTGACTAAAGTTGCATTCCACGCTTTGAGGTATGCACAATATGAACTTGGCCTATAGGGGGCGCAGGGGTCAGATACGGCGGAAGACTTCGAAGAGCGAGGCCACGGCGTGCATGCGGTAGAACAAGTTCAGCGGTACAGCAAAGTTCAAGACGGAGACCCAGACCGAAAACCCAAACGAGTCCTCCTCCAGACCACTGTCGTACTGAGGGCGCACCCCGAAGGCCGGCAGGATCCACAGCTGCAAGAGAGAGACGTGAGACTCTGGCAGGATCCACAGCTGCAAGAGAGAGGCGTGAGACCCCAGCAGGATCCACAGCTGCAAGAGAGAGACGTGAGACTCTGGCAGGATCCACAGCTGCAAGAGAGAGGCGTGAGACCCCAGCAGGATCCACAGCTGCAAGAGAGAGACGTGAGACCCTGGCAGGATCCACAGCTGCAAGAGAGAGACGTGAGACCCTGGCAGGATCCACAGCTGCAAGAGAGGCGTGAGACCCCAGCAGGATCCACAGCTGCAAGAGAGAGACGTGAGACCCCAGCAGGATCCACAGCTGCAAGAGAGAGGCGTGAGACCCCAGCAGGATCCACAGCTGCAAGAGACGTTAGACTCCAGAGCCTTCTGCCCAAACACCCTTCTGTCAAAGACAGGCTGAATGCCTCACACAGACATTACCAGGAACAGGGGACGTTACAGTATACATACACAGTACATATGTAGTATCGATAGTATGTTGTACATATATAGTATACTCACACAGACATTGGCCAGTGTAATAGGGGATGTTACAGTATACATAAGTCGCGTTTCCACTGCGGGAACCTCCCCCATAGGGCCATTTACAGAAACTTTTACGGGAACCAACGGAGTACCTCCTCCCTGCTTGGTACTCTGTTCGGCCCTGAACAGCTCCTGGTGGGGGTCAACCCAGCGCTGATTGGCTTAAGCTAGAGCAGGCTCTGATGCCAGCAGAAAGCACCAAAACAACCAGCATTTTTACAATCCAGCAGCATTAGCCAAGCAGACACCACTGGAAACAGCAAACAACAACAGCAAGATGTCTGAGGTCAGTTTTTTCTCCCACCCACTCCTTTTCAGGCAGAAATATATGGCCATGTTAAACCATAGATTTTTGTTTATACATTTTTTGTTTACACTGTTTTTTTGTTTTTTTATTGTGTTTGTCTGTTTTGTTTTTTGCTTTATATTATTTATATTACTTAATTGCATTTAATTATCTCGTTTTTCTCACTTGTGCCATTGTCTGAAATAAATTAATAAATAAAAAAAATAAAAAAGATGTACAATAAATGGATAGATTTTGAGGTGAAGGCAATTGGCTTCTACGGCACCGAAAAAATTCAGATGGGGTTAGGCATGGTTGGGCATTGCGACGAAATGAAAAGCACCTCGAAGTACTGGGGATTCCTCACACTCAGAAACAATGCCGTGAAAAGTAAAAAAAAAGAAAAAAAGAAAGCAGGACTACCTCAAAGACCGCAAAAACTGGAATGGTTCTGACTGTAAAATAAATAATTATTGATTATGCGGCAATTGAAACTCATGACGTCGCCCAGGGGTCCTACTCTACAGTGGAGACCCAGCCACTGAGAGGACAGAGTAAGGGGACGGTTCCTGTAGATGTCCCACCTTTTACCAGGAACTCCTGCTGTGGAAACGCAACTATACAGAGTATACAGGTAGTATAAATGGATACTCACGCAGACGTTGGCCAGGGTTAGGAACAGGGCAATGTTCTTCAAGACATTCCTCTTGAGTCTTGGGGGAGGGGTCAGGTCGGCGCTCAGAGGAACCTGTGAGGGCTTTCTCCTGTACACAGGTGCGCTGTCCTCCGGCTCCTCCAGGGGGCGCTCCTGCGTCTCGTACCCACGGTTTATGATGCCTCCTGCACAGAGGTCACAGCTATAATCGGAGGTCAAACCTACAATCTGAGGTCACCTGTATTTTGAGGTCACTTGTATTATGAGGTTATCTGTAATATGAGTTCACGTGTATATCCTGTATAATCTGTGTCTCTAACCTCTTAGGCTCCCGTAGGGCGGAGCAAGTGCACAGGTCACAGAGAACACCTCGGACGTGGGCACAGACTCGCACTCCTGTGGTCGGTACAGTGACTCCATGATGAACAGGTTTTGCACAGACGTCTCCAACACCAGGAGCGTCGCATACACGCCGCTTATCCACCGGTGCGGCGCCGCGCTGCTACCGCTGGTAACTGCGATGACACTGCACCAGGCCATGAGCCACGCTCCCGCGGCCGACCACACGAGCAGCTCAGTGTCCAATTCACGTGCCGGGTTTGCGGAGGTGTCCAGTGGCCTCTGCTGCGCGCGGTACAGTAGCAACCCCACACAGGCCGCGCCGCACATGCTTAGTGACATCACTACGCCATACACATAGAACATGGACACGGCGGCCTGCCGTGTGTCCGCCTGCTCCACGTGCGTCAAGTACACTACCAGCACACCCACCGTACAGGCCAGCGCGCCACAGCCCAGCACCGGACCCACGCTCAGGCCACGCCCCAGTCCACGACCCTGTGGCGGCATGGGCGCGCTCACCGTCTCCACAGAGCGCCCAATGTTCTTCCACATCACAAACAACATGGCCGACACGAAGATGTGGAATTCGATGTTGAAAGGGTACAAGTAGAAGAGGCTCGAGGAGAATACGGAGCAGGTGGAGGTCGAGCAGTTACAGGGAGGATCTGTGGAGAGTAGAAAGCAGTCAGATCTGTGAAGAGGCGAGTTGCTGAGAGAGACAGAGGAAAGAGACTAGATCTGTGTTGGCTTCAGCTTGGGTTTAGCCTGGACCCAAAGTAGGGTTGGGCGATATGGGCCTCAGCATGTATCACGATTTTTGTTGGTATGTATCACGATATGACGATATGATAATTTTAACAAAGCCTCATATAAAAGCTATAAAAACTTAGCACTGATAATTTTAAACACACTTGCCTCAAAGTGCATTTACTGATTTATTGGCAGCAAAATGTGCAATACAGCTATTGTATATAAAACGTATTAACAAAACTGAATTGTAGAGAATTCTGTTTTGTACATACTGAAAATTGCAGGCAACATGTAATAAAGGTGAACATTTGTAATTTGTAAAATATATAAAAGTTTGTCCTTTGTAATATAAAAAGTGTAGCATTATCAAATAATTATTTGATCACTTTGGCTTATGTTTCCTAATCCCAATATAGTCAAAATGATCAAATACTGTATATATTTTTTGTATCCTTTTGCGTTTCTATAATTATGTAATTATAACTTATTTGTAATTATATTGCAATGTAGACAAACACATGCATTGAAGTAAAATGAATGACAGTAAACAGTAAATAAAGCTTACCAATGGCAGAGAGAGAGAGAGAGAGCGAGTGTCCGAAGCAAGCCACTCGAGTCCAGTTGTTTAGGGCAGCTGCTTTCACAACATTAGATCCACTGTCGATAGTTACACACAATTGCTTCTTTTTATCTAGTTCCCAAACTACTCCCATATGTTTGAGGTAGCTCCGCGTTTTGGCACAATGTCTTCTACAATCTGCATGTCTTCACCATGGTCTTCACCGCCGCCCTCAGCCATGTTTGCTCTCTGCTCTGTTGTTGTTGTCCCTGCACGCCGCTCTGCTACACGTGCTGCGCAGATGCGTCATCAAAGTGCGCCGCACACAAACGTGTCTTCCGCTTGCTGTTTTCAGTGTTAAATGATCGTTTTCACCGGTATAAGGCATTTTCTTATCATTTAATTTACTTATACCGGTATACCGGTACAAAAAAAATATCGCCCAACCCTAACCCAAAGCATTCATTTTACCTGTGCTGTGGTTGCCGTGGAGACTGGGCGCTGAGACCCTCTTGTTGTGGTTGTTCAGGAAGTGTTCGGCCTCTGACATCACACCGCTACCCCAGAGCAGCAGGTTTGTAACCACAGCGTGGATCACCCCGAACCTGAGGAGGAAATGTTATCTGTATAGCACAACTCAGGCAGAGAGACCCAAGAGACAGACCAGAGAGAGACCAGAGAAAGACCAGAGAAAGACCAGAGAGAGACCTGAGCTGGACACTCACCTTTCAAACGTCTGGAAGGACTTGATGACGTCTTTAATGTGGAACCACAGAAAGTGCACCTGCGCAAAAAATTGAAGGAGAAAAAAAGATACAGTGCCTTGCGAAAGTATTTGGCCCCCTTGAACCTTTCAACATTTCGCCACATTTCAGGCTTCAAACATAAAGATATAAAATTTTAATTTTTTGTCATGAATCAACAACAAGTGGGACACAATCGTGAAGTGGAACGAAACTTATTGGATAATTTCAACTTTTTACTGCAACCGGCGCGCCGGCGGCCGTTTTTATGTTTTTAAATGTTCTGCTGGCAATAGCAGATGTATTTTGAACACCAAACCCCAAAAGCTGTATATCATTTTAAAGCTTATTTTCTTATCTACATTTATATACAAGTGTAAACTACATCAGACTTTGCATTCAAAAGATATAACACATAATGTGGGCACAAAATAAATCAATTCCAAAATAGTTTTTTACCTTTGGGCTTGTGCTGTACAAATAAATCAGCTCTCCTCCTAGCTTGCAATACATCATTCTCTCTGGAACAGTCCAAAGGAAAATTATATCCACTTGTATTTCCCAAAGTAAAATCCATTCTGCAGAAATAATACAAAAATGTGCATTTATCTTTAGCGAAAAAAACGAAAAAAAAGAGCACAGATGTTACTCTTTCACTTTTAACGGACTTTTAGCTTTGTTTTTCACCCAAACATCTGGTATCTACGTGTTCCTTAGCTCCTTATCTTTCAAATGAGACTACTCCCGAAAAGCTAGACCAATATTCGGGTCTGCAAGAGGTCCCGCGAGTACAGCTAGTGCTGCTGTTTGCGCATTGATCACTGATCTTTGTTGTGATCCCAACTTGTTTGCTTTTCTTCTTCTTCTTCTTGTTAGGTTTTTTCCGGCGGTTGGCGACCTATTTTTGCGCATTACCGCCACCTTCTGTTCCGTGGATGAGTCAGTAGGCTCACACTCTAACCCCACAGACCTTGTTTGCTTTTACTTCCGGGATTTACGATTGACATGTCCTTGTAGCCAATGAGGAAAGCTTTCGAACAAGGGGTGGGACAATGGTGTCCTGTCTTATGTTGGGCCTGGACAATTGTGCGTAATGGCAGCCAAAAGACGCTCTCGAAGCTGCAATGAATTTACACTCATAAAAAAATAACTTTGACATTTAAAAAAGAAAAACACACATAGATTAGTAACTTATAAGTACCAATAATAAAAAATATTGTTTTTATGATGATTAAATGTAAGTAAAGATATTTGGCACAATTTGGCACACTTGTGCCAAATTGTGCCAAATGTGCACTACTTGATGAAAAGGAGAAACTGCATAAAAACTATAAAACTTAGAAGTCTGAAACTTTAGACAGTTGTTGTCAACAACACGATGAACAGAGGGTTTGAATATTGTGAACTTACAATGAAGTATGGCTTTTTTAGGGCCTTTAGAAATTGAAAATGTTAGGCGAGGCTAAAAAAATTGGGTTTTTTTCCCTAACTTCAAAGGATGCAGAGGAAAATAGGAATGACAAACATTATTTTAGTGTTTTTTTACATAAACTAGAAGGCTCTAGCTTTAAAGTGATGCATCACACAAGCATGTGAGATGTAAGATGTGTTTTTAAATAAGCAAAGACATTTGGGTATGCCCAACCATTGTGCACGAGCCAAAATGAGGCGGGTTTTAAGAGGTTAAAAAACTGAAAAGTGGGGCGTGCAATATTATTCGGCCCCTTTACTTTCAGTGCAGCAAACTCACTCCAGAAGTTCAGTGAGGATCTTTGACTGATCCAATGTTGTCCTAAATGACTGATGATGATAAATAGAATGCACCTGTGTGTAATCAAGTCTCCGTATAAATGCACCTGCTCTTTGATAGTCTCAGGGTTCTGTTTAAAGCGCAGAGAGAACCATGAAGACAAAGGAACACACCAGGCAGGTCCGAGATATTGTTGTGGAGAAGTTTAAAGCCGGATTTGGATACAAAAATATTTCCCAAGCTTTAAACATCTCAAGGAGCACTGTGCAAGCAATTATATTGAAATGGAAGGAATATCAGACCACTGCAAATCTACCAAGACCCGGCCGTCCCTCCAAACTTTCATCTCAAACAAGGAGGTGACTGATCAGAGATGCAGCCAAGAGGCCCATGATCACTCTGGATGAACTGCAGAAAACTACATCTGAGGTGGGAGAGTCTGTCCATAGGACAACAATCAGTCGTGCACTGCACAAATCTGGCCTTTATGGAAGAGTGGCATGAAGAAAGCCATTTCTCAAAGATATCCATAAAAAGTCTTGTTTAAAGTTTGCCACAAGCCACCTGGGAGACACACCAAACATGTGGAAGAAGGTGCTCTGGTCAGATGAAACCAAAATCAAACTTTTTGGCCACAATGCAAAACGATATGTTTGGCGTAAAAGCAACACAGCTCATCACCCTGAACACACCATCCCCACTGTCAAACATGGTGGTGGCAGCATCATGCTTTGGGCCTGCTTTTCTTCAGCAGGGACAGGGAAGATGGCTAAAATTGATGGGAAGATGGATGGAGCCAAATACAGGACCATTCTGGAAGAAAACCTGTTGGAGTCTGCAAAAGACCTGAGTCTGGGACGGAGATTTATCTTCCAACAGGACAATGATCCAAAACATAAAGCCAAATCTACAATGGAATGGTTCACAAATAGACGTATCCAGGTGTTAGAATGGCCAAGTCAAAGTCCAGACCTGAATCCAATCGAGAATCTGTGGAAAGAACTGAAGACTGCTGTTCACAAACGCTCTCCATCCAACCTCACTGAGCTCGAGCTGTTTTGCAAGGAAGAATGGGCAAGAATTCCAGTCTCTCGATGTGCAAAACTGATAGAGACATACCCCAAGCGACTTGCAGCTGTAATTGCAGCAAAAGGTGGCGCTACAAAGTATTAGCGCAAGGGGGCCGAATAATATTGCACGCCCCACTTTTCAGTTTTTTATTTGTTAAAAAAGTTTAAATTATCCAATAAATTCCGTTCCACTTCACGATTGTGTCCCACTTGTTGTTGATTCTTGACAAAAAAAAAAATTTTTATATCTTTGTTTGAAGCCTGAAATGTATATACACCCACTGTATATACACAATTCAGGGTGAGCAAAAAAAGACAAGAAATGTGCAAACAACACAATAAAAATGTAAGAGTTTACAGTCCTCCCGCTGGTCATTAAGTGACTTACAAAAGAGTAAGCAAGCTACTCACGCAAGACCTGTTCAGCGGGCACAGTGGCGTTTCAAGGGTACCCCGGGGCCCCAGGCAACAGAGTCCATGAGGGCCACATAACCACATAAAAAGGTTTATATTACAGTAGGTATAAATATATATTTAATAATAAGGTAAAATGCAATATCTATTACTTGTTTAACTTAATATAAATTGAATGTAGATCATTTCTTATTTTTAACAATAAATGGATAGACCTTGGGCCTGCCTGGCAGACTGTACAGTCTACCATAGAAAATTGTGAGTACTTCAGTACTTATCGTGACACAAAGCAATGAGAAATAATTTAGCATGTCTTTTTATAAGCTTGTTCACTACACTCATCATGTTAAAACTGATTACAAAAACTACCTATCAAGGTGTATTTATCCTACATTTGAGGGCCAAATAAAAGATTTGGCTCTTAGCTATAATCTGCAAAAAACGGCTTGATTTACCTTTTACCGTTCTTGAGCAATCTGTCATAGAATATAATAAACATCATTTCTTATATTCATCCGGATGAACCCGGGTCATCGCGGCGCTAGCCCCACAACTTGACTAGACCACTAGACCACCATTACATACAATACTTAATATTCCCCAGACAGGGTTTTCAACTGTTAATGAAGAACGTGGCAAGTTTTGCATCAGATGAAAAGTTTTTATCCGCCAACTCGTCACTGCAGGTAGCTGTTGTAGCCTGTACAACCGCTTGTGTCAGATCAGTCTGCCCTACGTGGCCCCCTGTCGGTTTGGGGGCCCCAGGCAGCTGCCTGCCTTGCCTAATGGCAAGGGACGCCTCTGAACGGGCAGACTATCTCAACAGAACAGCGGCCAGTCTTGAACAGTTAGATTGACTGGTGGTCTCTGGAGAAGTGAGTCTCAAGCACAGACAATCAACAGAGACAAGGGGGCTTTCACCTTGGCTCGCACTTGGGACTCACTTCTCCAGCGCCCACAACGCAGTGGGAGGCGCGGGCAGTCTGACGGATCAGATCAATCTTTCAGACTGGCCGCATTCGGAAACAAGGGACACGTCACACCATCACGCGTCACCTCTGACGAAGGCGGAAGTCTACCAGGTCAGGTATTAAGCAGTACTAGCTTCTTTACACTTTTGTCTTATTAAAAGAACATTCTAAGCCTTAAACAAAAAATAAGACATAATTAACTTTTTACATTTGCTGCTACTACTACTACCCTAAAAACCACTGCTACTACTACCCCAAATACTACTACTACAACTTCTACAACTAGAACCCCATAAACAGATTTTGCACATCCAAGAGTGAAAGTTTTGCCCATTTGTCTATACAAAAAAAAAAAACGAATGGAGGATATTTGGCCAAAGTCAAACACAGGCTACTGCTGCTGCTGCTACTGCTACTTTAGGTATTTCATGACACTTTGAAGCAACTGTGGGTAAAGTTCTAACTCATCATTCTGACAATATGCACAAGCCAGTACTTTTCCACAGCATGTTTTGATTATCTGAAGGCCAAGCTACTGGCATCGCGGCAAAAGCTGTGGTGTTCATTCCTCTGCTGTATATTATCACTTGCAGTCTGTAAAATCCTTGTTCGTGTTCGTGCTGTCTCTATCATCGACAATAAAACATGTCTTCTGTCTGAATTGAAGACACAATCCCAGACTTTGTCATCTTCTTCACTACTACTATTGCTACTGACACTGCTACAGCTGCTTCTGCTATTGCGATGACTGCTACTATTGCTGCTGCTACTACTACTACATCTAATACTAGTGCTACTGTTATTACTACTACAAGGGACTCGAACATACAAGGGTTTTTAATAGAATTGTATATTGGTTGGCAATTAACTGACACTGCATAAACTAGTACATATGACTCTGAGGACAATATTTACTAGATGACATTTATTGAATGGTGTACAGGAAATGTGGTTAGACCCTGGTAGAGCAAGGCGTGATGATTGCAAATGGGTAAACGTAGATAGAGATTATGAGATTAAATCCCCCCCGGCCTAGACCCTGGTGGGGGTAGCTAGGAGAAGGGTGAATGAGCTGGCCCAGAACAAGGCGAAGATGGGGAGTTGCTGTCAGACTCAGGCAGCTCAGACAGGTGAAAGAGTCCACTTTCAGAAAAGGAAATAGGAGCGGCTACAAAGCATCTGAATATGAATTCAAGAAGGAACTGAAGCAAAGGCACAGCACAAAGATTAGATTCAGGAACAGTTTTTAAATAATGGCACTGGGTCTGTTTGTACTGAACGTACCCGACTCCACCTGCAGGTGGACCACTGACTTACTGACAAACAGGAGGCAGCAGGTGCGCCTGGGGAAGAATGTCTCGGACTCTCTCAGATTACAAACACAGGAGCCCCACAGGGCTGTGTTCTTACTCCCCTGCTCTTCTCCCTGTACACCAACCACTACACCTCCCACCATGACTCAGTGAAGCTGATCAAGCTTGCGAACGACACCACCCTCATTGGTCTTATTTCTGACAATGATGAGTACGCCTACAGGAGGGAAGTGGACTGGATGGTGTTCTGGGTGCAGTGGTAACGACCTCGAACTGAACGCCCAGGAGACAGTCGAGATGAATGTTGACTTCAGGAAGATCACAGACCTCCCGTCCCGCTCTCCCTGAAGGACTCCCCAATCCCCTCTGTGGAACCATTTTGTTTTGTTTTCTGGGATCTCCTCAGGCAGGAGGCTACGGTCCCTATGAACCAGAACCTCCTGCCATAAGAACAGTTTCTTGCCCTCTGCAGTTGGACTCATGAACAATTCAACACACCATAACTCATCACTGACTCCTGCCCTTTTTGACTGTCACTTTGCTATTACTATGCTACTGACACTTTACTGCACTGCTTAAGGCAGTAAAGTTCTTCTCCAATAATGCAGCTCTGCAGCGTCTGTGTGCCCAGAGACCTTCCAGAGACTTTATATAACAGTAGTATGTGTTCACGGAGGTGCGCCATACGTTTATTTTATTATTAAACGGTATTTTCGCATCGGCGAAAATGCTCAAAGCAGTTGTACAGATACGGGAGCATGAAAACGCATATGTTCACAAGCACTATGTCCCCCATTGTCGACCTTGGTTTAGTCCTGGTGCAGCTCCTTTGCCGCGCAGTCCATGCATCTCTACCACGCAGCACGTGCGTGAATCCCGAGACACACATGCAGTTCCACGGTCGAACGCGCGTCACCATTGACTTTGCATTGAAAGTCGACGCAACGCATGATCCAGTCTGAACGCTGCTTTAATGTGTGTAGTGTGCACTTGTATACAGAAGTAATTTTAAGAAATGTTATGGAGATTTTTCCTTTTCTTTTTATGAATGCCTTACTCTATTTACTTGTATAAGTTGTTTGCACCGAGATCCAAAGCAATTTCCTTGTTTGTGACTTCCTGTTTCTCATAATTGCAATAAAAAGAATTCTGAATCTCATTAATGAAAGCTGCTGCTTGAATTAAGTTTCCTCGCGATATGAAGCTTGATGCAGAACAATGCTTGGTGGCTGCCAGCAAGGGTAGAGGTTAATTGACTGATTGTTGTTGCCGTAAAGCAACGGTGGAAATGACTTTGAGCACGGAGAGCTTAGTTCTTCCTGTCTTCCAGTCTGAATTTCCAGCTTAGCTCCACGACTACTGCTACTAGTCCTGCTACTGCTACTACTACCCAACTAAAGCGTGTGGACACTGACCTGTGCAATGGTGTGCGCTGCATGGATCACAGGATACGCTCCAAGCACCGCGGACACACACGCGCTGAAGCCAACGTACAACCCAATCCGGAACACGTCCATCACCAGAGAGAGCAACGCCAGGAGAGTCAGCCCCCCTGCAGAGAGAGAGGGTCCCAAACTGAGGTCTGAGGTCCCACAGCAGCAGAGAGAGGGTCTCAAACTGAGGTGTGAGGTCCTGCAGCAGAGAGAGGGTTCACAATGATACATAAATTATGAGTATGAATATGTGAGTAATAACTATACCCGACTCAGACCTTAGACCAAAATATTACCGCTGCTTCTACTACCCCAAATAAAGCGTGTGTAGCACCTGTCTGTAATGCCCGAGTTAAAGGGGAGGTCACCAGACTCACCTCTGACCCAGCAGGTGGTGGCGTGCTTGTCCTTGTCGGCATGCGCGCTGCCGTGTCTATCGCGCACGAGCACATACCACATCATCCAAAGCAGCTGCAGCATCATGACACCGCAGAGCAGCGCCAACACATGCCACTCCCGCACCGCACTGTGGTGCGTGGTGGCGAGCATGAGCGCGGCACCCAGCAGCAACAGGTTGGCACCGTACTGCGCGCTCAGCACCTGCGCGTTCCTCTGTGGGTAATCCACGCACAGACTCTGCCGGATGCGGGCACACATCCGCGTACCGCGCTCCGGTCGGCGACAGAACCTGTTAGGACACATGATGTCGAGCGCGCTGTGCTCCACCATCCTGCGCCTCATCTGCGACATTCAGCAGTCACATACAGAGGACGAGGAGGAAGAGGACAAAGGAGGAAGAGGAGTGCTGTGTCCTCCAGTCATATAGACTAAACCAGCAGAGAGAGGAAGAAGAGTCCACAGTCCAAAGTCACTGGCTTCATCTCTGGCCTCTCTCTCCCTCTGGTCTCGCTCTGATCTCTATGGTCTCCTTCTCTGGTCTCTCTATCTGGTCTTTCTCTATGGTCTCTCTAAACCAGCAGAGGGAGGAAGAGGAGGAGGAAGAGTCCACGGTCTTGGAGGAGGAAGAGGAGCAGACCTCCTCAGTCCTCCTCCACGTCCACAGACCTCTTCAGTCTTCTCTGGTCTCTCACTTAAGTCTCTCTCTCTCTGATCTCGCTCTCTTGTCTCCCTCTGGTCTCTCTTTCTGGTCTCTTTCTCTGGTCTCTCAGTCCTCTACAGTCAGAGCAGCGTGAAGAGGAGAGTCCACAGACTTTTCATCTACAGGTTATAAGAACCGCGGGAGGAGCTTTACTCACGGACAAAGAGACGGGGAGGTGCGGGGGTTGGGTGTTGGGGGGGTTAGAGGAGAGGTAAGGGAGGGGGACACCTGTGGGTCATACCCGGCGCGTGCCAGCAGGAGTTCACACGCGCATCAGCCGCTGACTCACGTGGATCAGTTTCACCCCCTCGTGCCGCCTCCTCCCTCTTCTTCATGTTTCGCTGATCTCCACACAGACGCTTCTGTGTCCGTGCGGAACAGCTGCGGAATGACGAGTCACGTAATCAAAGTCTATGCGCCAGGTGTGAAGAACATAGACTGTATACAGTTGCTAACCCGCTAGCTTGATGAAACCCAACAGGGAAGTGCTCACGGTGAAGTTTGGCTCCAACTCCTAGTGCGAAAGTAAACTTTTCTAGCGCAGTAATTGTTTGTGTCACACTCACTATTTTGGCCTTGAATGTATGGTTTTGAGCCCTCTGTGATCCTGGTGTTTATATAGTGATATTGTCTTTGTAAATCCAGTTTGGTGCAAAGCTAATGCTGTTGGAACAAATGCCCACAAGGAAATATGCCCCTGCTAGTTTATGTTAAAATCCGCTTACATTTAAGCAACCACTATGCTGAAGTCATACTCATATGCTGACTATGGTTAAGAGTTCATAGAGTTGTTTTAATGTGTGTACACTCTGCTGTTGTTTTACCCATAATGCATCGCTTACATTAACAAGTTCTGACATTAAAGGACAACTCACCCTCAAATCCACTTTTATTTTGCTGATAAACGGTATAAATGAGGGTCCAACAGTGTTGTGCACATATCCTGGTCATAATTTTGTCACTTTGGTGCAAATTAGTTGAAAGTTAAACTTTCTGCCTACAACCGTCTGAGGCGCCATCTGCTGGCGACCTGTATTACTACATTTGAATTTTGAATCTGGCGCCAACACTGGCGCGGCAGCAAGACCTGACGTCTGAAGCAAGCAACCGAGGTCAACAACCCAGCAGCAGGACTGCTATCTGCTCATTCGTGCACAAAGAAACAGGAGAAGCACTGACTCAGCCCTATGAAATGACCTCCAGAGGGCCACAAATGTGCATGTTGGTACTCAAACGGTCAGAAACCAACTCCATGAGCGTGGTATGAGGGCCCGACGTCCACAAGTTGGGCCGGTGCATACTGCCCAACACCGTGCAGCCCGATTGGCATTTGCCCGAGAACACAGCGATTGGCTAATGGTGCCCTGTGCTCTTCACGGATGAGAGTAGGTTCACCCTGAGCACATGTGACACACGTGACAGAGTTTGGAGACGCCCTGGAGAACGTTCTGCTGCTTGCAACATCATCTAGCATGACCGGTTTGGTGGTGGGTCAGTGATGGTCTGGGGAGGCATTTCATTGGAGGGCCGCACAGCCCTTCATGGGCTAGCCAGAGGTTCCCTGACTGGCATTGGGTACCGGGATGAGATCCTCAGACCTATTGTAAGACCATATGCTGATGCTGTGGGCCCTGGGTTCCTTCTGATGCATGATAATGCCAGGCCACACGTGACAAGAGTGGGTCAGCATGACCTGCATGATGAAGGTATTGATGTTTTGGACTGGCCTGCCCCTTCCCCAGACTTAAATCCAATAGAGCACATCTGTAACATCATGTCTCGGTCCATCCATCAACGCCACGTCGCACCACAGACTGTCCAGGAGCTGACTGATGCTCTAATCCAGGTCTGGGAGGAGATCTCTCAGGAGGACCTCTGTGGTCTCACCAGGAGCATGCCCAGGCAATGTAGGGAGTGCATTTAGGCACGTGTGGCCTCCACGTGCCTGAGGATAATACACTCGTTTTGAGGAATTTCTACAGAATTTGGATCAACCAGTTTCCTCCTTTGTCACTTTGACTATAATTTTGGATCCAGATCTCCAGGGGCTGAGAATTTGATTTCCATTCATCCTTTTATATTATTTTGTTCTCAACACACTATGAATAAATAATTTCATCCAAAAGATCGAATTGATTGACATCTAGGATGTGTTTTGAGTGTGCCCTAAGTTTTTTTGAGCAGTTTATAACAGCAGTATGTGCAGTAGGTGCACCTAAAGTGTTTTTTTTTATTTTTTGTTTTTTTATTATTAAACAGTACTTCCGCATCGGCAAACACGCTCAAAGCAGTTGTATACAGTCACGGGAGCATGAAAACGCATAATGTTCACAAGCACTATGTCACCCATTGTCAACCCTGGTTTAGTCCTGGTGTAGCTCCTGTTTTGGCTGTTTACGAGTATTTTCAGTCTGCTCGCTCAGACCACTAATGTCCCCGTGACCACTTTGCGGCTCTCTGATTGGTCGCTACACGAGCGTCCCGAAAGGTTTAGCTCCTGCGTGCGTAGATTTTCCGCTATTGCCGCACCTTTGTCGCGCATCTCTACCGCACAGACCGTGCGTCTCTACTGAGCAGTCCATGCGTGCATCCCTAGACGCACATGCAGTTCCACGCTCAAACTTGCGTCACCATTGACTTTGCATTGAAAGTCAACGCAATGCATAATCCGGTCTGAACGCGGCATGAGTCAATGGTGGCGCAACGCACGTGTGTTACAGAAAACCGGCACGGCATACGCATTATTGTGGCACAACCAGTGGGGTCGGGTCCCTGCTCAAAAGTGGTCAAAATGACATGCTTGCACTACCACCCCGGGCCGATGGGGGTGGACCCGGAATAAGAATTATTCAATGCTAACATATAGCATTAGCTGACCTCTCGAAAATGTCTTTACAGGATGGTCCAAAAGTCGGCTATTGGCTCCGTTCCACATGTGTGAGGGGAGTGAATTTTTTTGGACCAGTCTAGTTTAGTCGTGAAATTTTGCCACTTGGGGCTCGTGCCGGATGACGCATGCACAGATGGGTTTTTTTTCACATTTTCCAGTCCCCGCGGCCATTTTGAAACTGCTCATAGAACATTAGTTAGAACAGCGGAGATAGGTGTGACTACGTCCGTTAATATTTAGTCTATGGGCATGACAGAGGAGGTGGATACGTGCATGCGGCGAACATTAACTTTTTTTTGCGGACCCACGTGCAGCAACCAATCGGAGAACCGTAAAATGGTCACAAGCCAGTCAAAACAGATAGATCTTTGTTTTTCTCTGGTGACCTGTGTGGGCCCCCCCTCCCTCAGAGACAGTAATACCTTGTGTTGTGCAGTGAAGACATACAACAGTATTGAACTTAAACGTATAAAATATTTATCATAACATGTTACAAAAAGAACAACTTTAATTCATAAATACGGAGCATTAGTATAGTATTCCGGAGTGAGACATCAAAAAATAAATACACTTTATAGAGTTCATCCTAGCACCGAGACGCACATCACAGCTCCCATGAACTGAGTGAAGAGGATGAGGGGTGCAAGGAAGGACCAAAGAGGCCAGAGCGCCAGGTTCAAACTGGAACACACAGAAACATGTATTATACTGAGACAGGGCCACAAAAGGGATGAACACAAAACATACATTGAATATGTTAAAATTTCTCTCCCTCTGATCTCTCTCTTTGGTCATCCTCAGGGGCCTATCTCTAGTCTCTTTTTCTCTCTGGTCAGTGGCGCTGTCTTACCTGCAGGATGCAGCAATGAACGCAGCTGTGGTGACTGCAGGCACAGCCGGGTACTGCTGGTCGTAGTGGGTGATGCCCTTAAACCACTCCAGGTACACAATACAGAAGAGGGCAAGGGAGAGGCAGAGAGCGAGGAAGAGAAGACCCACATTCAACCACCACCTGGAGGAGCACAGAGACCAGGGTTACAGAGGGCAAAAGAGAGACACTCAAATCAGTCCTGGTGGGCCCTGTGAATGAAGGTATCTGATCAGCCAGTGTCAGGTCAGTGTGCAGATTTGACCTGTTGATGAGGTCACTGTGCAGAAGCTGGTGGAAGAAGTCCATGTAGTAGGTGACAGCGACGGCGGCGAAGATCCAGAACACAGAGTGACGGTTGAGACGAGGGAGGGGCTTCTGGGACGTCTCCTCCGGGTCTGCACATACATTATACACACACACAGATTATACTCACACAAAGGTCCCTCTGCCTTAGTTCCACAGATTTTTGTGCTTATTGTACAGCGTGCTTCTCAAGCGCTGCGTATACTCAACAACACATACAACATCCTATAACGGCTGGTACAACATGACAGTTGTCAAGCAGTGGTCTCAAACATGTGGCCCCCACAAGGTCTTTTCCAGGCCCCTAGCGGACATTCATTAACATTCATGTCAATGCAGACCTCACTGAGTTTGTGTAAATATGGCACATTATAAAATTAGCTTTTAAATGATGTATAAAGAAACCAACCACACAATTAAATATTTTACCATAAACATTGAGGGCTGAATAAACATCGTGATAAACATAAAAGTGGCCCAGCTTCACCTAGACTCGACCTGATTTGGCCCCTGAATAAATTTAGTTTGAGAACCCTGAATGAATGTCTCTCTCAAAGCCCTCTAAATAACAGAATAGAAGTACTGTAATTTACTATAACTAGTTTTGTCTAGTTCTTTTAACACTGCAACTTATACAGCGATGCAGATAATGTGTATTTTAGAGTTGTCAGAGCAGAGTTTATGGACTCAAAATAGAAAGTGAAGGAGTCATGGAAGATATCGGTTAAGTGTTAAACATCTAGTCATTAAATTATGTTGTGACCAGTTAAAACAGTTTATAAAGCTACATTACAATATGATAACCCGCAGTTATTCAAGTTCCCCCGCCAAGATGTGGGCAACAATGATTATAGTCCAGAAAGTACTGTATACCATAACCTTATCCCTGTGATTCGCATACATAAACTTCATAGGAGAAATGGTCCACAGATCTAATCCGTCTTGGCCTAAACTCTGTAATAAACCCATGTAACTAACTCGTTCCTGGCTCCAAAACAGTTGTTTCCAACCCTGGTTTTCACATCATGTAAATTCTGTCACTTCTGTAGGACAAATCTAGGTGCCCCAGCTCCAACGCCTGTCCAAGATCTTCATGTGACGTCTTCTGGATAACTGAAGGCAGACTCACGGCTCTCGTCCGCCGCCTCCGAGGGCACAGAGTCCGGGTCTCTCCTGAAGCGGTTTCGCAGAGCCGCCAGATCCGCGGGATTCAAAGAAGTCATATTCACTGCAAAAAGTCACAGGAAAAGAGAATACAGGGAAAAACCCAAGGAAAACAGAAAAATGGAGGCTTCCGGGTCTTAGCAGCGCTTGTGTGACGTCATGGTGCGCGACGCCTGTAGTTTTTACGTGTAGTTCTGAGCGGGGAACAAAATAACTTGTCTGGTCCTTAAAGGGGCGGTATATTGTAACTTGATGTCCAATTAGATCTAATTCTTTTATCTGTCCATATAACCTAAATAATTCGTCTTATCTTTTAAATGGTTTAATTTGGGTTATTTCATAATATTAAATACAATGAACACAGTGGTATGGTGAGTGGTTAGTGTGGTTGCCGGATTCGTCCCGGAAACCGGATTCGTCCGGAAGTTCAGTTTGCGCATGTCAAAAAGTGTACATAAACATGTAGACAGTTTGTGTTGTTACATACAGATTATATCATTGATTTGTGCTCATATGTATCAAGGTTTACTACAAGAAATGGTGGAAAAAGAGCTCCAAGAAAAGAATACTTTTAGTAGCCACAAACTAGCGCCCAGATGCGTTCAAAGGCACACGGAAATGAGGCTAGTACATAGACAGTTTAATTCTTGATTAGATTCACTGTCCTTTACTTGTTTAACTAATAACTAAACGCAGAGATCCACATAGCAGGTGTACGATATTTAAACAAGTAAAGGACAGTGAATCTACTCAATAATTAAACTGTCTATGTGCTAGCCTCATTTCCGTGTACCTTTGAACGCATCTGGGCGCTAGCTTCATGGCTACTAAAAGAATTTTTTTCTCGGAGCTCTTTTTCCGCCCTTTCTTGTAGTAAACCTTGATACATATGAGCACTTTTCAAGAATATAATCCGTATGTAACAACACAAACTGTTTACATGTTTGTTTACACTTTCTGACATGCGCAAACTGAACTTCCGGACGAATCCGGTTTCCGGGACGAATCCGGCAGCCACAGTTAGCACTCTCGGTCATCAGCTAGGAGGTCCTGGAGTTTTTACAATATCCCCGTGTCTGCGTAGGTTTCCTCCAGGTGCTCAAGTTTCTCCACCACTAAACACATGTACAGACTCTGGAGCCAGGACACCTCTGAAAAAATGAATAAAATATGACAACCACAATATTTATGTGTGTATTTTCTGCATTCATGTGATCTTCCGACTTCCAATTTGGAGAAATTAGATAGAATGGTTGTGGTCAGGTCGCGGTCGCCTCGCGGTCAGCTTGGCGGTCGCTGACCAAGAGGAAGTCCGAACCCAAACTCTCTTAATCCCGGCTCGATTAACACTGACTCATTCATGTAACTGGAGCGCATTCCGGCTCCGCTCAGCTGCGACCACAGCTCGGGTCACATGGGTCTGGACTAAAGCTGGTACTGACATAGGACCAGCTCCTCATCTAATACAAACCTGGACATGTTTTTAGCTGCATCAACACTATGCGCTGGCCGCAAAGGTCTGTCTAGAGACCAGAAAGAGAGATCACATAAAAACATATAGAGAGACCAGGGAGAGAGAACAGAGAGAGACCAGAGAGAGATCAGAGAGAGATCATGTAGAGACCAGGGAGAGACAAGAAACAGACCAGAGGGAGACCAGGGAGAGACCAGAGACAGCCCTGGGAGAGACACCAGGGAGAGAGACCAAAGAGATACAAGAGATAGAGATCGGAACCAAAATCAGAATTCTGATTGTGATAAAGAGACTAGGAAGAGAGACTAGAGAAAGATCAATTCAATTCAATTCAATTTATCCTTTTAGAGCCCTAAATCACAACAGTAGTTATCTCAGAGGACAAAACAAAACAAAACCATTGAAAGCCCCAACACAAATCAGAGAATCAAACAGTTCAAACACAAAGGATAGAGTACACATAGGTATTGGTCCATAAGGGGGAGTTGACCAACGTCCATAGTTGTTGAGTGTCCTGGATCAACACAACAGTCCTTTTAGTTAGACCCTCTAACAATCTAACAGACCCTCCAGCATCGGAAAGTGAAAACTCTAAAACCCAGTGGAAAAAAAGTGAGAAACCTTGTGAGGTCCACATTGAGAGAGGGATCCGCTCCCACGGACGGACAGGCTATAGATCTAGGTCTCAAGCTACAGAACGGGGACCAAGGCCATGTGGCGCAGGACTCAGCCTGTAGAACGAGGACAGGTGTGAGGCAGTACTGAAGCAACTCTCAGTCGAGGAGGGGTGCAGTCTACTGTCAGTTCAGAGGGAAACCAAGGAGAGAGAGCAGAGAGAGACCAGGGTTAGGGTTAGAGAAGAGAGATCAGAGATAGAGTCAGAGACCTTCTGTCAGTATGTCCCAGGGCGGCTGTAGATACAGTTGCAGTTTATCACTACCATGTTTGGAGTGAACGAATAATGCTGTGAAGAGAGTTTGAGAGTACAGAAAAGAGTTGTTTAAAACACTCACAGCGGACTATAGCTGAGAACAGGGCATTTTGGCTCTGATGAACATGTTACAGGTTAGAAGAGTACTGATGCTGCAAGGGCCGCACACGGAGCTGAGACCAGAGAGAGACCTGTTACTCCGGTGTCGGATCTTCGGAGGGGGGTTGTGAGGCTCCGTGTTGGATCTGGGAGGGGGATTCTGTTCCACAAGCTCAGGACTCGGTTTACTCGTATCAGCCGCATGTTGGCGATAACGCGCAGACACTGGGCTCTTTCTTTGACCTGAAACCGGACGCATGTTTGAACACTTGTCTTTGTCCGAGGAAGATCGGACACCATGTTTGGAACGTCGCAGTGCAGGGTCAGCAGTGGTAACTCCAGGGAATGTAGTGAGAGGGGGCAATGGGGGGGGGCAAGTTACACAAAGCAGAGGCCAAGGCATGCTTTCAAAGTTAATCCAATTTATGAGACACACATAGTCTACGTTAGCATTGTCCGTCTGTATGCAGTCTGTGGCATCAATGGGCTCAAGGAAAGAATATGATGTTGCTTGTTTCTTCAAGCTCTACTCTACTCTCTTACCCTTACCCTACCCCTCAGTCCTGCATCGCATCTGTCCTCGTTTTGTAGCTTGAGTCTTGGATCTATAGCCCGACCATCCATGGGAACAGATTCCTCTCGCAATGTGGACCTCCCCAAGGTTTTCCCACTGGGTTTTAGAGTTCTTCCTTGCCGATGCAGGAGGGTCTGTTGGACCCTTGTCAGGGTCTTACTAAGAGGACAGTGATGATCCAGGAAACACAACATTCAAGAACATATATGGACATTTATCAACATTTATGGACATTGGTCATCTGTCCCTTATGGACCAATTGGTCTAAGTGTTTTGATCATTGCATTTCTTGAGTTTGAACTGTTTGATTCTCTGATCTGTGTTGGCGAATTCAACGATAACTACTGTTGTGGCTTAGGGCTATACAATAATAGATGTAATTTAATTTAATTTACCAGTTTAACACTATGGGGCCCAAACAGTGGGCCCTCTAATTTTAAGTTTAAAAATCAATGGGGATTGCTTTTCCGATGGTCCTAATGAAGTTTTTGTGAAACAAAAATTAGAAATGAGCCCTGGAGATCAATTTTCCTGAAAAAAAAGTGTTTGATGTGGTAAAATAAGATGAGATTTAATGATCTCACATTGGAGAAATACAGTGGGACAAAAAAGTATTTAGTCAGCCACCAATTGTGCAAGCTCTCGCACTTCAAATAATGACAGAGGTCTATCATTTTCATCATAGGTACACTTCAACTGTGAGAGACAGAATGTGAATAAAAAAAATCCAGGAATTCACATTCTAGGATTTTTTATTTTTTTTAACTTGTTTTTAATATAAATGGTGCAAATTACACTTATTTACAAAACAGCAATCAGACAGAAAATATAGGTACAGTTATCAATACAATATTTTTGTTGTCCATATTAAACTACTTACACAGTAGTGACACAGTAATCATCCATTTGACAAATAAGTTTGAATCAAAGACCATTTATCCATAAATATGTCAGTTTTCATCTGCAGTCGGGCCGTTATTTGTTCCATCTGATATACGTCCCTTAACCTGCTTTTCCACTCAGTGATGGTGGGGGGCTGCGGTCTGAGCCAGGAGACTGTTATAATTTTCTTTGCGATCAGAAGCAGAATCTTCAGTAGATAAAATTCACATTTTGATTTCCTTTTTAAATATTCCCAATAATGCTGAGGTTGGTTCCAGTGCAATTTTGATGTGCAGACATTTTTCAATTTCACATTGTATGGCTTTCCAGAAGTTGGACAACCTTGGGCAGTCCCAAAATATGTGTGTATGGTCTCCAACAAGACCGCAGTCCCTCCAACACTTGTCCGAGGTTTTACCAAATTTAGATGGGATGAAGGGGGTTCTAAAAAAATCGGACTTTAGTTTTCCACTCAAACTCCCTTAATACTGGACTATTAGTGATTTTATATCCTTCCTGAAGCGACTCTTCCCAGTCCTCATCTGCAATTATTGTATTCATTTCTAATTCCCATTTACCTTTGATGTGCAGCGTATTTTCAATGACACCTTCCTGAAATATCTTATAAACATGAGATATAATTTTAGAGGTAATTCTTTTTATCACAGCTAATAAAAAGCATTCCATATCAGAGGGTGTATTTTGCAGGTGATCTAGAATATTGTTTTTGCTAATATAATGTCTTAGTTGTAAATATTTATATAAGTCTTGATTTGGTAGGTTATACATTTGTTTGAGCTGCTGAAAAGACATCAGTCTCCCATTCTCAGACAATTGACTCAGCATAATTAGGCCTTTTTCGACCCAGGGAACTCAGGATTGTGATGTATTTGTATCAATCTACAGATTAAACTGGGAAGGTTCAGCATTTTTCTAACACTTGCCCATATTGACAGCGTATTCGTCACCATTTCATTTGTAATTTTTCTTTTGGACCATAAATCAACACCCACAAATGGTAAAGTGCTACATTCGTACAATCCCCTTGTTCCATAGAATACCAGATGGTTTCCTCTTCCCGAGAGATCCATGTGGTCATTGATTTAAGCTGAGCCGCCAGATATTTATTTATTAGGTTTGGAATATTCAGTCCTCCCGTCCTTTTAGAACACATTAGTGTTTTAAGTTTTATTCTTGGACGTTTATTCTGCCAAATGAGTTTTGAGAGCCACTTATTAAGGATTGTGAATGTAGCCATTGGCACCCTTATCTGCAGTGACTGGAACAAAAATAATAATCTTGGTAACACATTCATTCTAATAGTTTCCACTCTTCCTACAAGAAAGAGAGGCAATATTTCCCATCTAGCAAAATCTCTTTTGAGATAATCCATCAATTTCCCATAGTTTGGTTTAAACAGTTTAAACAATTTGTGGAGTGATCATGATTCCCAGATATCTGAATCCTTGATTACTTAACCGAAATGCAAACCTACTTGTCAGATTTGTAGGCCACTGCCCCTTTAACATCATAGCTTCTGATTTTGATTGATTTATTTGGTAACCAGAAAACTTGCCATGTTCCTGTAAAGACTCCATGAGTGCTGGAATGGACGCTGCTGGGTCACTAATAAATGTTAAAATATCGTCTGCAAAAAGCGAGACTTTGTGTTCCTTTTGATTTTTGTCTTCAATGCCTTTAATATCATTATTATTCCTGATTAGTGCAGCGAGGGGTTCAATATTAATTGCAAATAGCAGGGGGCTGAGACAGTCGCCCTGACGGACCCCTCTCTCCAAATAGAAGTAATCCGAGCAACATCCATTAACCCGAACACACGATTTAGGATTCGTATATATATCACTTTTATCCACTCCACAAATTGTGAATGAAAACCCATTGCTGAAAGGGTACTGTACAGAAAGTGCCAACTAACGGTATCGAATGCCTTTTGTGCGTCAGAACTGATTAACATAGAGCTATTAGTGTGGTTTTGTGCTTGTGTTATAACATTCAATGTTCTCCTTATATTATTAGCGCTATGCCGATTTGGGATAAATCTTTTCTGATCTGGGTTAATTAATTTCTTTATATTTTTTTGTATTCTTTTAGCTAATATATTTGTTAATGATTTTAAATCGTTGCATATTAGACTTATTGGTCTGTATCCTTCACAAAGCACAGGATCCTTTCCTTCCTTATGAATGACCGAAATGATGGCTTCAGACCATGAGTCTGGCATGTCACCCTTTGTGAGAGCATAGTTGAATACTCTGGTCAATAATGGAGCTAGCTCATCCACAAAGCACTTATAAAACTCTCCAGGGAATCCATCAGTACCAGGAGATTTATTATTTTTTAACTTTTTAATTGTCTCCCTAAGTTCAGATTCTGTTATGTTTGAAACCATATCGGAGGATTCTTCATACAAACACCATACCTACTGTGAAGTATGGGGGTGGAAACATCATGCTTTAGGGCTGTTTTTCTGCTAAGGGGACAGGACGACTGATCCGTGTTAAGGAAAGAATGAATGGGGCTATGTATCGTGAGAATTTGATTCAAAATCTCCTTCCATTTAGTTCAATTTCTGTTATTGACCAAATACTTATTTTCCACCATAATTTACAAATAAATTCTTTAATAATCCTACAACGTGAATTCCTGGATTTTTTTTTCACATTCTGTCTCTCACAGTTGAAGTGTACCTATGATGAAAATTACAGACCTCTGTCTTTATTTTAAGCGGGAGAATTTGGGAAAATCCTCCTATATACCTTTAAGTTTTTTTGTGTGTGTGTTTATGTAATAATCTTTGCTTATTCATAATGCTCAGTAGTTTGCTATATTTGTTATGTATGTATGTGTGTATGTTTCCATGTTTGTATTTATGTTTAGGACCCCCTTGAAAATGAAATGATTCATTTCAAGGGGCTTTCCTTCATAAACTTAAACTATTTACTAAATCAACATCTTCGCCTTCTTCAGCCAATGTGGAAGAAAAATTGTTGCACTACACAAATTAGCACACATTGATGTGCAACGCTCTGATGCCGAAGGCCAGCTGCCTGACCTGAGAGAAGGAAACTAAGCCCCAGTGCCCAGCCTTACTCCCACATGAACACTTGAAAATTCTTCTAAAAAGAGAAAGAAGAGGGCGAGTTGGGCATGGTCTGGGCTGTGATTGACAAGCGACGGCTTTAATATTGATTTGTGTTAACGCTTTAAAAACGCAATATTTTGGACAGCACTGATATTTATTTATTTTAGCAGTTTTTTTTAAAATGTTCACACTCTTTTGCTTTCCCTGGTTCTTAGGAGGGGAATGAAGCAGAGTACAGAGAGGTGGTGGTTGCCTTCTCAGACTGTAATGAGAGAAATGGTCTGATCCTCAATGCGTCCAAGACCAAGCAGATGATCATTGACTTTCACAGGAGCCCTTCCCATCAACCAATCATAGTAAATGGACAGGACATCGAATTGGTTCAGTTCTACAAATATCTGGGAGTCCACCTGGACTGGTCAGATCAGGCCAATAATGTCTTTAAGAAAAATCAAAGCAGACTTTTCTTTCTCAGTAGACTGAGGTATTGCACATTTTTTTACCAGTCTGTTGTAACTAGTGCCGTGTTGTTTGGGGTCGCGTGTTGGAGCGGCAGTCTGACCTCGAGAGACAGTAACCGGCTCGACAGGCTGATTAGGAAATGTGTTTCTGTGATGGGGAGAAGTGTGGACTCTGTGGGAGCTG